TTGGTTCTGATAAACAATTTTGAACTTTTCAGGGTCGGATCCAGGAATATGAAAGGGGGGGGGGCGTAGAGCCCACCAGTTGGGGGTGCGCTGTAAGCACCCCTCCCCGATTTTTTTAATCTGACCAATATCATGGGCATTTCGAGGCCATTTTGAAGCCATGTGCACTTGATATTGGGAGATATTCTGATGTCAAAAGTAATTAAATTTTACTGTGTAAAAACGCGTCGCCCGAGTATAATATTGCATTAAAGAAAAATATTGACATTTTCTAATGAAATGTGGGGTTCCGGACCCCTCTGCATCCGCCCCTGCTTTTACCTTATTTACCTAATGCTCACCCACTATAGGTAACCATATTGAGGAAAGGAGGCCAGTGCCCTGTGTAGGATCCTTCCATTGTTCTTGATGATTTTTCTAGGGCTATTTTGAAGCCAAGTACTGTTCTTGATTCCACAGTTTGAGCTGGTAGAGCGTTCCATAGGTCTACCACCCTCTGTGTTAAGAAGTATTTCTGATTCAACACACACGGTGATAATCCAGGGGAGGTACATGTGGCAGTATACCTTCTGGTTGACAATACTTCTGACAGTGACCTAAATCTAAGCTAGGTTTTCCATTACAAAAAGACAAAATACGAACTAAGAATTTTGCATGAAAGCTTCGTCTCTTGCCAAGTTGCCAGCTTACAAGTGGTAAATGCTGCGAAACATATGCGCGGACACTTGAATGTACCTGAACATGTGCCAGAGTTGAAGTCTATTTTTTTTACTCGACTTAATTAGGGGCTTATTCAAAGAGTTCACTAGTCTTATTCAAAAGAAATATCCAAGAACTACTTATTGTGGCTAAGAACGTTATATATATATATAAAGATTGCAAGATACATCCTGTTATATAGTGGGAATTACGCGCATTCGATAAAAAGGCTGCTAACTACATGTGACACTTCCAAACACCGCAGTCTTCCCCTGGACACCCTAGTTTCCTCCTGTACTAATACTGGACATTACACGTCTGCAAAATATCAAAGAAGTGATCAACTGCCTGAACGATAGATGGTGAAACGATAAATTGATATCAGCAAGTCAAATTTATTTTAGTTTGCCCTGAAAATTTCCTTCACAATATATCTGGTCAACTCCAAAGAAAACGAAAGAATTGATGCCTAACGTACTTATTATTATTATTGCCTTATTACTTCCACGTAAAATTTTCTAAGTGTACTTTCGCGCTCTTAATAAAAGGGTCAATTTATGGTTATTTTTCGTTAACCACCCATCACCCCTTTTCACATGAAAAATATATTTTTTCGTCAGTTTTCTTGCTGTTTTAGATGATTCTGACATTTATCTTTGGGGCAAAGCACTTTTTTTTTCTGTTACGTTAAGTTAGGTCAGGTTATTTGGTTGGATCCTTCCTTTGGTATGAGAATAGGTTATTTTTGGTGTTTTTCTCAAGTCTGACCTCCATTTCTGTGCAAATTAGCAGTTTATTAAAATAAAAAATTTCATTTTTTTGCAAAAAAAAAATAAATAAATAAATAGCAAAAAAAATGAAGGTCAGATTTGAGTAAAACACCAAAAATTATTCTCATACCCAAGGTGCAGGGGCTAGTGAGTACCAGATGCATTGTGACCACCAATCTGGTCTCCTGAGTCGGCTATACAGTACGTACAGTGCACATTATTCCCAGGATCATGATAAATGGATCTGCTTGTTGTTAAGTTTGCATGAAGCACTGCTACCTATTGTGGGACTACAGTATTACTCCAGCGATTGTGTTTGATAATTTGATTCGTGACTTCAATTTGGGGAACATCAATGGGTTTGAGGGTCCTAAGCTGCCAATGTTCATGGTTTCCAAAACTACTCATACAGAACAAGTTGCCAGTTAATTCAAAATGATCACATACTATATGTCTGCCAGAAAAGCAAGTGGCGAAGCATCCATGAAAAAAGAAAGCTCAATTAGTGATTCAAGCTGCCATTGCCAAAGCATAGGCAAGGCAACACTATCCAATGTGCATATTGCATAACTACCAAACACCTCCCACCAAACTTGCAAAGAAATGCTAATACTTAACACAGGTTTCAAACACAAAACAAAACATAAGTGTTTCTTTGATCATACGCATTTACACCTTAAGTAAATTAATCATGGTTTAAGTGAACGAGCATACTATATGTGGTACTGTACGAGTTATCATTTGGTAGTGTTCAAAAAAGGCCAGGAGTCAGCTTTGGCTGGGTATTGAAGCACATGTACAGTACACACTTGTTATTAATCAAGTTTATTTCCTTCTGGCTAACAACTGATACCTACATTCTATGCCTAAGCAGATCTTACAGTATATGCCAACAAATGGTACATGCTACCCCTACCTGTGACCATTAAACCTTTTGTGAGGATTGGTGTTGATTAAGTTGACCTTATTCATTCCAGGTCATCTGATGGATTGAAATGGACTAAATGGATAAAAGATCTATATATTCTAACTTTTGTGGATTTGGGGATTTATTGACTTAAGGTAGTGAAGGTAGTGCCTTAAAGAACATTGAAGCAACCATGGTAGAAAAGGCTATGAAAAACTTTGTTTATTTGGGAATACCCCGAGATGATAAGCAATTTCAGTACTGTACTCACTTTACAATGGAATGGATGGACAAGGTATCATGGCATTTACGTACCATAAGGTGCTTCAAAGCAGCCTAAAGTTCTCATGAAATGTGAGGTGCACTCTAGACAGACAACCCTAGGACCTCTCTTAATTTTAATGCAAACTGGGGGACAACAATGAGAAATCATTTGATAGCCCAAGTGGTTAACAAGCCAATCAATGGCAAAAAGGATAAAAGTAAAAGAAAAAAAAAGATTATTTTATGCTTAAACATCTTTCTTACTGCACTAAAGCTATTCTACCTCTACAAATGATGGTGCTAAATCCCGACCACCCTACCTTAAGATAATATACCAAATTTTTATCTACAGTACAGGTATTCATTTTTTAATGTTAGGTACTAAATTACAGTACTCTACAGTTAGATAATAAATTACAATGGTTAGGTACTAAATTACAGTACTCTACAGTTAGATAATAAATTACAATGGTTAGGTACTAAATTATGGTAGTTTTTTGGGGGGGTTGTTTTTGTCCATGAGCCAATTTGACTTTTTGGTCAGAAAGAATTGAACCATATTTTTCCCATATGTTATGTTATTTGCTATATGAATATTCACGTCACAAATGGTTTTCAAGCACCCTAATCCATTCGTATAGTGAGACGCACCTGTATTTCATAAGATTCAACCTGTACAGTACCTGTACCTTATTAAGACACTTGTACTTAACTATAAATCTATACCCGATGTATTGGTAACTGGAGAGTTTTATTCATATTAGACATGTAGTATACAGCTGCACTGGGCTTACATTCGATTCATGTACCAATAGTCCCTGTATTCATACTCAAGAAAATTAAAACTTTTAACAATTTTATTTTCATTTACATATGTTTAGTGGTTGTAATTTTATTTTATTTATATGTAAGTGTATTTGAGTATAACTGCCATTAATAAAAAAAGCTATCATAGGTAAAAAAACAAAATACAATGCCAGAAACACATTCCCCCTTATTCTACTAATTCTATGGGAAAATATTATAGTACTTTCATTTACATTGTTTTGATAACCGACTCACTTTTCAGGAACACATCCCTAATGTAAATTGGGGTATAGTACAGTGTTACTGTATACAGGTATCCCTAGTTTAATGATTGGGAGGAGTTTCTGAAAAATCGATTGTTAAGCAAAATAATTGTTAAACGAGGGATAACGAGGAATAATATGAGGAGAAAGTACATAATTGCATAGCCAAATCACCGACTCATCACCCAGTAGCACTAAGAGCGGAGTACTGAGCTGTGAGTTATCTTATTGTTCAACTCGTAATTTTGGGTATAGTGTACAGTACAGTACATAATTTTCTTTATTTTTCATTTACTCTGTTAAATGCACAGAACAATCCTTCATACAGAATATGCAAAAAATTATAAAAATAAAATGAAATAATGATCATACGACCAATAACCTAAAAGTAATAAACATTTCTTATGTGCTCAGCAGTTAGCCCACAGAGTGGGAGAGGGGGAACAATGGCAATGCAGTATTTTTCTTTTATTTTATTTATTACTTTTATTTATTATTTTTATATATTCCTCACATTTACTGGTACAGTATACATGCGACACAGTCCACCTGGGAACTCACCAAGCTGACTCAAGAGACGTGTGTGGCTGCTGCCTGTATGTCCTGACATCACATAGGGGGAAGGGAGAGGATGGTGAGCCAGAGTTACAGCTCACTTCCTCAATACATGTGTTCTTTTCTCACACATACACACCTGTGCTCTTCATTTTTCTTATTTTATAGTTTATAGTACAGTACACTGTATACTATAAAACTATAAAATATAGTACTGTACTGAACTGTACATTGTATACAGTACCGATTTTCTTTATTTCTAAGCCACATTACAGTACATTATTGTAATGATGTGCACTTGGAGCACAGAATCCCCAGTTTTTCTGATATCCCTCCTGAATTTTTCCCAGGTAGTTGCAGATTGCTAAACCGAAAATTGTTGATTGTTAAATAAGAAAGGGTGTTAAAAATTTTAAATTGCTAAACCAAAAAATTGCTAAGTGAATGATTGTTAAACAAGGGATACTTATATCATATATCAGAAGACTCAACCATGTCAGCAAAGTTTGTTGTATACTTTTCCCAAAATATACTTCTTAATGGAGGCATTTTGCAAATTCATGTTCTTCCAAAGATGAAAACATTAATTATTTGTATATCTATTTACCCATTGATAAATGTTTGGCGACCCATTTTTGATTGGACTCTTCCACCCTATGGCCCATCACACAATACTACAGTAGCTTTAACAAAAACTTTTAGTCTTTAAAACAAGGAAAATGATTTTCAGTCATAGAATTTTGCAAAACTTTACATAATTTTACATCATAAGTTTTAATCTGCCAAATACTACATGCCAAAGTCAGTGAGCCAATTGAGTTAACATATCTTCAGTTGTTAATTTTGTACACAGCATACACTAAATGGTTTCATGATGTTACTTTTTTTATGTGCAGAATAAAAACATTTTCAATGAAACGTTTTTGCCAAAATATGTTGTTACCTGATGAACTAACTAAAAAAAACTATCAATAGCTGTTAATGTTTACTGAAATAAATGACAATATGACTTACCGGGGTAATTCTTTAAAACTCAAAAGTTGGAGACCTGGGAAATTATATATCAATGGATGACTAAATTGGAAGATATGGTTATATTTCTAAAAAGTAAGGTAAATAAAGATGTTTAATCCAAATTGAAAATTCCCATTACTAATTTAGGCTTTCATTTTCTATAACTAATACCTCTACAATGTGTGATACCGGTACATACTACAGTACTTTAGTGTCCAGAACTAGATGGTGGGACATGACCCAGCATTCACATTACCTACAAATGTGGTGTATGCTAAAGCTACTGGGTCCTTATTAACAGTTACATTTCTCACACAGCCAATAAATTTTTTATCACTTGCTCCTCCACGTCGATTCTGTACGTGTGGTTGTGAACCCAAGAATAATGGGTTCTTTGTATCGGTAGAGGTGGCCCCGATCTTGCCAGACACAGGAACAGTTGAAGTTTCATCCACTACAAGAATGGCAATATTCTTGTTCTTGATTACTGGAAATAAGTCAATTTAAAAAAAACTACAGTAATTGGATTAATGTTAAATATAAAATCAATTCATCTGAACTCTAATTTATAATAATATAACTGTAATGAATGAAATAAAGTAGCCAGCATAAGGAGATACATTTACTGCCGGGTAGTAGACTGATATATGAAAGTAGTAATAAGAGGAAGAGGTTAACATTAGTCTACTGACGGTTCTTTACTTTGGCCACACCCACAATACAGCACCTCTACAACCAGGTATATCCTTCATCTAAAGTTGTACGACTTGCTAATTCTACTCTTTTTATTTTTACTTATGAATATGAACAAAATGTTAAAAATATAAACAATTCACTTGATATAAGCAAGGGCCTCATATTTTACATGTGTATGTTACAAAACCAAGAAAGAATGTTTAACAAATGATTTGGGAATTACTGTTGGTTACTAGACACTTTACAATGTTGAGACAGATAAATAAGTATTATGAAGTAAATATTTATATATCCCAACCAAACATAAAATAGAATATCAAACACTATTTAGATACACATTTACCCTCTGTACTTACATTGGATAGAATGCCATTTGCCATCACACAACATCCATGGGGAAGGTGGGGTATACTTAGCAGTGATAATACCCTTGCCATTGTCAACACTTAGTTCAACAGTTCCATTCTTAAGATGCAGCATCACAAAATCACGCCGTCCATGAACAGATGCAAGGACACCATCAATTGTTCTGGGTTTTATATCCATTGTCATTTCAAACACTCTTCCCACGCTAAATCGTTTGCCTGATGAAGAAAAATATAAATTGTAGTACCTGTACAGTAATCTGTACTGTTAAAGAAATTTGTAACACCAAAATGCATATAAAAATGAAAGCACAGTATTTAAGATACAGTAATATAAACAGAAATTCCCCAATTTATGAAAGGGTTTTATTCCTGAAAAACCTTTTTGTAATTTTTCTTCAATCCAGAATGCGACATCTAGCTTATACCTAGGTATGTTAATGCCAAGCAATAACTCGCCAGGCCAACATACAGGCAATTAAAACATCTAATAATTACTTAATAAGTAATATTAGGAGGACACGTCGCTACCTGGTATTTAATTGCAATTCTCAAAATCCCCTCCCTCACCCCCCCATCATACCACTTCTTTACTTGTATTCATTAGTCTTGCATTTTCTTGAACACTGTACAGTACTTCCTTTTTGCAAAACTGGTTGATGAAATTTAACTTAGAAATGATTCAAGTACAGTAATAATTTTGTTTTGTTTTTACAGGAGGGGGCAAAGTTATATTTTTCCATACATAAATGCAACATCAAATTCATGTAAAATGTTTAAATGTAACCAGTTTTCAGTAAATCTGAACTTACGTAAAATAACATGAGAACGAGGACCATATCCAAAGAATACTCCAGCCTCCACATTAGCAGAACAACGGATGAGACTAAAGGCATCATGTCCACCACCTACGCGTTGGTTATTCATGCGGAAGTTTCTCAGGCATCCATTAAAGGAGATTTCTGTGCCTTCAGTATTTTGCTGTACAAGATTTGCAACGTCTGAAGAAATGCCACCATAATAGAAGGGTTGCTGTAAAGAAAGAAATTTCAAGTAATTTAATTTGTTCAAATTAAAAGACTACCAGCAAAAACAGGCATAAAAGAAGTACCTGGTAATCAAGATTAAGATATGAATTACTGAAACATTTTAAAGTCGATCAGTTCAACAATGTAATACTAATCACAGTAAGTTTGACCTCTGAAGAAAAAAAAAAATCCAGTAAAATAAGCAGACAATTCCCAAACATTAAAGCTTTGCTCCTTTGAAAAAATTCCTATTGGGTTATTTATTAAAGTTGAGAAACCATTTTGGTATCAAGTTGTAACTTACAGTACTGTATCATGGTTTATACCATAATAATTCAAACAAACCTCCACATCAATATATTTTGAATCTCCTCTACCAGTGCCATTAGCAACCTGGTAGCCATCAATAAACAGCATTCCATATTCTTCTCGGCGTTCTACTATCACACTATGCCATTCTCCATTGTTGTAGAACTGTTCAGACCGCATAATTGCAGCTCCAGTGCCAGTGTCAAAGCCGAACACGATCTAAAAAAATTTTTAAACAAATTACTACTTTTCATTTAAAGTATAATACAAAAATCGAAACTAATTGAAACACAGAGGGGATAATATTTCTGAAAATGCAATGAAGAGGTGAATTTGGAGTTGGTACCAGTGGACATTGTTACCAGGATTGAAGATTGGCTTAACCTTAGGCTGTGGTAACAATTGCAATACTGTATAAGAATGGATAGAAAAGGATGCAGGTGGTTTAGAATTTTTTTTATAAAAGACAAAAAACATTTGCCAATAATGGGTTACAATTGAATTGAAGATACTGTGTTTTGCACTTTATGAAAACCCTTCTTTGTTGAGGGCAATCTTGATATGGTTCTAAGCAGTAAAGAATGTGATTTAACTTTCTTCGTTTTGTCAGTTGCCCTATCAGGAAAGTTTGAACTTTATATACTGCAGACCTGATTCATATAAATACCAGTACTGTATGTACCGGGTATGTATTGTATAGTATTTCCTTTAACTGTATTGTACAGTGTATTATTCTGTCACTATCAAGGGAAAATGGATAATGTGGTGAAGGGGAGATTAGTCAGGGTAGTAGTGTCTGTCAACTCACTCTGTACCCAGTGCCAGCAGGGATAGAAGGTACCTTGTTGTGTTCTATCTGATATAAAGCAACATTTTCCACTTTACTTTATGCTGTACTTCATATAATGTTAGTATTTCTAATATACAGGCTGTGCTTCAGGTTTATACTGTAGAGTAAAACCTATGTAATTCCGAATTCCATATTTTCTGATGTGATATATTTTGGATACTGTATTTTCAGAAAATTTATTCCTCATTTTTCAACCTTTACCGAATTATAGCAAATAACTTCTGAAACAGGTGGCCTGGCACTTAATTGTTGCTGGGTAACCAATATTCCAGATCCTGGCTGATTGTGAGGGGGGCTTTGGGTGGTGGGGACTAGGAATGTGAGTATTAATGTGAATCTATCAAGTACAAACAGTACTTTTTCCTACCTAACTACTGTATATGTATGCTATATTGATGAAGTACAGTAAACCTTTCTTATTTGTGGGTTTACAACTCATGTTTTCAAAAATTTTTGTCAATCAGATGGTGGCTAGCTCATGAGCCTCTGCGAGAGCACTACATGTCACCCTTACACACCCACAGCGTCTCTTCTCCCTTGTTTGTGTTCAACCATTACCCGTGATGCATCGTCTCTCATGTTGTGTTCAAAACTTTAGTAATTTTTTTTTTGCAAAATGGCTCCTAAAAGAATGCCTAGTCCTAGTGATCTTCAACTTCAGTAATCAGACTTCATCCTGTTGTACAGTACACTTCATCAAATTTCAAACTTCCGTATATGAATATAAGTAAGGGGTAACTTCAGTGTCTCACACACAGTATAGGTATATGGTAGTGCAAGTTACTATATTCAAGGTTTTGCTGATTAGTAACACACCTTGGAACCTAACCCCCACAAATGACAAGGGTTTACTGTACCTTATATAATGTTACACCAATATATATATTCAGTCACCTTGTTATCCTTAAGGTACATGGTGATGTAGTCACGGTGTGCTAAACTAGAAGCATAGAAGATAACACCCTCATCAGTAAGTGTTTTAAAGTCAAAGGAGAACTTGAAGTCTGCACGTGGATTATCTGGTAGAGTCTGGAACTGAATGCGGCTGTTGCGTTTGCTACCTGTAAAAAATTAAATGGAATTAGATTTCATGCAAAGTAAAGCAACATGTATATAACATAAATCGCATGTAATATCCAGTCACTATGTACTGCATTATAAGTGTAAAAACCAAAAATCATGTCTACTTAAAAGTTTGAAATTTCATATTTGCATAAAAATTCACGATAATAAAACAAATTTCAAAGAACTGTAGCAATGTTTCAGTCAAGAATGCAAAGCATATACAGCTCCTCCCCGACTTACGACCTACTCGACTTACGACCACCCGCACTTACGACCTGCCTCAGTCGTATCAAAATTTTGTCAAATTACGTATTTTCGAGTCCCAACATCAGTACAGAGAAAATTTTCGTTTGTAATTCACTTTAAAATGGCTGGCAAGCTTAAAAGTGAGAGTTTTGTGGTGCTGAGAAGAAAAGAGACACCGATTTTAGATTTTCTATGTATTATTTAAGCATTTTCGACTTACGACCATTTCGACTTAAGACCTGGATTTGGGTCCCTAACCTCGTCGTAAGTCAGGGAGGAGCTGTAATAAAAATCTTCACACTACATGCATGGTTCAAATTGTATTAGCATCAACTTCAGAGACCCCACTCACAGTTTAATCTGGGCAGAGCCAATATAATACAGTGGTCCCTCGGTTAACGAACGGTTCGGTTAACAAATTACCTTTCATAAGAATCTTCAATTCAGTTAACGAACAAAAATTCGATTAACGAAATCCTTACGAAAATCATATTTTGTTGTGAGCATCAGCTGATCAGCTGATAGGCTAGTCTGCCCATTCAGTAATCTGTTCTATTTTTACATTTGTTTCCAATGGAGTAAATATCAATAAAGTTGTGCTATTTAATATTTTTACATGTATTATATTAAAATTAATAGTCATTTTAACATTTATTTAACATATTGATAATATATGCAGTACAGGGAACTAGTTTGTTGTGCGCCCATCAGATGCGTGAGTCGGTCACAAGGCATCAGTTGAGGCTTTGTTTACAGTGAAGAGAGCATCTATTTTGTTGGTGTCTTGAATATTTTTGCATTTTTCATTGAAATTATTGGTCATTCTGAACTTTAGTTAACATATTGATAATATATAGTGCAGTGTTGATTTCAACAAAATTAATGTTGAATTACACCCAGTGAACTTAAAATTTTATTGGTGAAATGACTGCATCAAGCATGGGTCCCCTGAAAGGTGATTTCTCCTCCATCCCCACTTCCTTCTCTTCTCCCTTCTCCTCCACCCCACTTCTAATTCCCATCATCATCATCATCATCAACCAGGAACCTTCTACATACACACCTCAAAGTAAGTGTACTTTACTGCATTTTTTTTTACTTTGTATGTACTTTTCGGTGAGCTGGAACCAATTACCCAATATCCCATTGAAACAATGGATTCGGTTAACGAAATTTTCGGTTAACGAACAACCTTCTGGAACGAATTGTGTTCGTTAACCGAGGGACCACTGTACTGTACTAGGGATAAGTTGTATATGGTATATACTGTGTATGAATTGATGTCCTACTTAGGTCTAGCATATGGTAATAATTTAATACACCACAACACATGTTAAATGCTAAAGAAACAACAGCGAACTCTCATCGCAACATACTTGAACACCTTGAACACATTTAAGAGGTGAGAAATCAATAGTATCATGCAAAAAGACTTAGATATGGAGTTTGACTACATAAATGCAGCAACTGTTTTTGCATGCTTACAAAGAAATTGGAATACAATAAGTCCTCATTTAACGTTGCCCCCGATAATGCTAATTCATTTTACATCGCTATTCTTTAGATACCCATGATTCGGATAACATCCCGCCGATTCAGTATAACGTCATTACAGACTACTTTGTACGGCGCATCACCCTTTCCCATCTTGGCACGCTACGCTCTCACTCGCAGAGTGTCACAGCATCCCCAAGCGTCGCCAGACTTTGTTAGGCATCCACAGCATTCGTGCGTGTTTAAGTGTTTTTGCTCTTAATACTGTACTCTAACCCGTTCGAAATGGCTTCCAAGCGCCAATCATGTGCTACTGATGCTTGTGTTGTGAAAGCAAAGGAAGACCATTAGCCTTGCTACGAAAATGGAGGTTTTAAACCGTTTCGAGAAAGGTGAATGTGAGGTGGACATTGTTGCTGCGCTAGGTCTAACCCCCACAACAATGCATACTATCCAGACCAGCACACACTTGCTCCACCACCTCCGCCCACCAGTGAGTACAATACAAAATGATCTAGTTTATTTATATATATACTATTTTCTATAAAAATTACATTGAATAAATGTATATGTACTGTAAAGTATTTTATGGGGCAAAGGGAGGCTGGGGAACGTAACTCCCATATTTTATCTATTTTTTATGGGGAAAATTGATTTCATTTATGTTGTTTCCATTAACGTAGCGGTTTTCAGGAACGGAACCACAATGTTATGTGAGGACTTACTGTATTATATGGGTTACTTTACAAAGTAAGGCAACCAGTAAATGAAAAAATGTGGGAGTAATTCTGAAACACCAATCTACAACCAAGGAGAACCCATAACCAGGTGTTTCCATATTACAACTCCTTCCAAAAGGGATGGGGGTTTAGGTCATCATATTTTACCCCTAAGGATAGTCAAGGGTTAATTAATGATCCTATGATCACCCAACTATTACAGTCACATCTATTGTCTATAAATATGGAAGGTTAGATGCATAGGTTGCCTTCTAGAGGAAGATGGTCTTATTAGAATTCATGACTACATCAGGTAGTACAGTATACAATTCCCATAAATTATAGGCTGCCATTATGATGGGATATGTTGACAAAAGCATGTTACAGGGTTGTAAAGGCCTGCTCACAAGCTTGATGGCTAGTCTTCAAATTGAGTAATTTAATAATGTATACAATCATTAAAATTGCCAAAATAACATTCTTACCTTAATGTTATCACCTAAATTTGGAATATATCCTCACTTATCACCTAATGAAAAAGACATTGGTTTAAATTTGATAAAAAGACTGCTGAAAGGCTTTATATGACAAGGACTTTTGTATGGGTTAGAAGTGTGATCACTTTCAGCAGACACCAAAAAGAGGTTGGAGACCTTTTGAAATGTGGTGTTATAGGTGAATGCTAAGAATAAGCTAAACTGACAGGAAAACAAATGATGAAGTACTAAGATTAGCAAAAACTTTAAACTTTTGTCATATAATTAGGGATGAGGGGATAATTACAGTAATATTCATGGGCAAAGTTGAGGGTAGGAGGGCCAGGGGAAGGCAGAGACTGGGATGGCTGAATAAAATTAAAAACTGGGTCCCCATAGAGACAAAACCTCGGAGGATTGGTAAAAACGGCCCTAGAACATTTACGGAGTGGAGGACTGTGGTCGCCATCCCTCAGATATGAGGATGGTACTTTGATTGACTGATTGATCTTCTTTTACTGGTAAGATTGACCATTTCTTCAGGCCAACTGACCCAGCTTCGAGAATGATGAAATGCAGCTCTTCTTGTTATGACAATCTAGTCGAAGCAGGGCATTCCAGGGTCACTTTAAAGCCCTCCAATATCATAATGAATTCTGAGTCTGATTAATCACTTTTGTAAGGTATTTGTAGAAAGGAAGGGGTAAGGATTGCACAATTGTCATTAATCATTAACACAGTCCTCCATCATCCCTCAACATGTCTGGGAGCACCGAGTCATAATTTTCAGTTTCTTTTATTTATCTGTTTATGGCAAAATAGACTATAGATTTTAAATTTGTTTTGCTTAAATATGGACTTTTCACTTACCCAAACCATCTTTTGGGTGAATTATTTAGATTTCATTAGCTTCAGAATACAGCCTATCGATGGAATATTTGCAGGCATAAACAATTATGAGAAAGTGCGACATGATGGAGGATACAAACTGTGATTCATTAATACCATTTAACTGAAACACACACCTGTAATTAGGCATTACCAACATTTCAGTATCCCGTGGCTTTTCGATTAAACGTGCACTTTATAAAGCATGAGAAAATAACTTCTCTCATGCAACAGTAAAATTGAAGACATTCCATTAAATAAAATTAATTAATAGAACAGCAACTCAATATGTAATGCATATTAATCAGTCAACAATTTACTTAAGAGAAGTACAAATGTCCTAAAAATTCACTTCAAGGCAGAGTCGCTAAACCTTCACTCACCAAAGTTATAGCCGCTAGGGAAGTCTTCATCTATGGAGTGAAAATTTTTAAAGAGAAGTTTTATACACTAGAAATCACACATGAAATTGAGCTAAAACACAATTTTAGTCACATGAAGCTTTTACTGTACAGGTACTATAGAAATGCAAGAGATTTTGACATGTGTGGCAAGAGCACCACAGAAGGCAGCAGCCAGAAAAATCCACTCATTCTTTACTCATGTTTAATGAGATTACTTACCGTTAAATCAGAATTTCCAAACTTCTCAAACACTTTACATCAAATCCACTTCACTTATTAAGTTTATTCATCAGTGAAGCTGTGGTTTTCGTGCACACTTCTACTTTCAATCATAAATCTCCACAGTGTGTGGTCTCATGTCAGTCCTCTAGCAAACACCATTAATATCTTTCTATACCTTGTCAACTAACTTATAATATTGACTACAACCACCTCTTACATGGTCTACCTCTCCCCATCCTACCTTTCATTTCTTCCACTCAATTCTTGCATCTTGGCGCTTCACCATTTCAATTCTCATAATTGCCAGGGTGCTAATTAAGTTATCAAATTCTACTGCTTAGATTACTGAATTAATTGTACTATGAAAAATAAAATACATCAGTCTGTTCATTATGGGTTTGCTTAGACTGAGCTGCTCACAGATGACATCATTTCAAATCTTTTGGTCATCATTTACAAATGAGGCAGATGACAGCAATTATACGGCAACTCCTCCACTTTTTGGGGCAATAAGTTCAAGTGTTGGCAACTCTCCTCTCTCATAAAATTCAATAATCAATAAATAAATAGAAACTAAACCGACTGGCCAGCTGACCTATCTGATATTTCTTCGATGTTTATATATATATATATATATATATATATATATATATATATATACAGTATATATATATATACAGTATATATATATATATATATATATATATATATATATATATATATATATATATATATATATATATATATATATATATATATATATATATATCTAACAAGTTCAAGTCTTAACAGTATGTAATATTGTACCTGTGGTGGTGGTGGTGCTTTCCTTGATGGTGGTGGAATCTAATGCTAGTTTTCATAGGTTGTGACAAAATGTAACAAGAAAGAAGTATACAGTATAATAAATAACCGAACAGTAATATATTCTTCTGTTTTGATATATAAATACTAGCTGGTAGCCTCTTACTGTTTATAAAAAATCTATGTGTTTAATACATGGTAACTTGCTCCTGTCTCTTCTGTAGCCATTTACACCAAAAATACTTAATGTGACAGATTCTCACCATACATTACATTCATTCATAAAATTATGTCAATTGTTTTTATTTGCATTTCAATACTCAAAAAATATATTAGACATGCATAGTCACTAAACAGAAGTCTCATGGATCAACAACACTTCGGTCACCACTGATTGATACTTTCTAGTATATCCTTCGCTTCTTTCAAGTAATCATTGTTACAGTGGGGTATGCTATAACGAACGGATCCTACTACGAATATTCCTATAACGAACGGTTTTACCTATAAAATTGAGAATGCTATAACGAACGCAACTCCTACAACGAACGCGGATGAATACAGGACTATTTCGCCTGGCGCATGAATATTGTTGTACCGCGACCCACAACAAGAGCGTCAGGCGCCATCTTTGTCTCATTGTGTAGCCAGTGCACCACTGTTATTGTTGAAATTTCGTCTTTTGATGTGGAAATTCGCGTTATTTGTATAACTATTTTGTTATACAAGTATACAATTGTAACAATGAGTCGTCCAAAGCGAGTGAGAAAGCTAATAACCCTTGAAACTAAGAAAGAAATTGTAAAGAAACGTGAGAATGGAAGAAGCATTGCGAAACTTAGTGATGAATATGGGATGGCTAAAACGACTACTATGTACGATTTTGAAGAATAAAGAGGAGTTAAAAACTGTGCAAGTGGCTAAGGGAATCTTTAGACTTAGCAAAGCAAAGTGTAATGTGATTGAAGAGATGGAAAATTTACTCTTAGTGTGGATAAAGGAGAAAGAAATGGCAGGTGGTAACATTAGTGAAGCTATAATTTGTGAGAAGGCTAAACAATTGTTTGAGGACCTTAAAGCCAAGACTCCCAGTGGAAGTGATAGTGATGTGCCAGTGTTTAGGGGTACCTGCATGCTGAATAACACTAAGGTAAGATAAAGTACCATATTTTTTACATTTTCCACATAATTTTTTCAGTGTTAAGTGGTTGTATTTGGGGGTCCGGAACGGATTAATCCTATAACGAACGAATGCTATAACGAACGAGGTTCTGGAACCAATTACGTTCGTTATAGCATACCCCACTGTACGTACATTGTTTTTATGAAGACTCGATAGAAATTGTAGCAAACTTTTAAAAAGCTTCTCTAGATTTGCAAATGATCTTGCCTGAAACAGATATTATTTTGTCACTAAAGCTAAACCAGTGCAAGAGCATACTCACATAGGAAGGACTGTACATTAGCTGATCTATAACCCTCACAAACTGAACATTGGCAGGGCTTATTGTATCTTTCCAAAAGAATAATACAATCTTAATGCTGTACAACATTTAAAATTTGTCTTTCCCATTATTGTTTATCTATTATCAATACCACTACTTTATCATCCTACTCATTAATTTTGAAATTCTATCCATTAAAATTGAATGAATTCCACCTTCAAATTCCTCGACTTAGTATTATTATTATTATTATCATTATTATTATTATTATTACAGTATTATTTTTAAATTTCACCTTTCACAATAGTACTGGCTAGCATGGGTATTCATGTCAAACTAATACTGAAAGAAGAGCAGCTGGGTGGTATTCATCTCCATTAACCTTTTGGAGATCCTTTCAATAGTAATCTCCCCATTAGCTGGAATCTTAGATCCAGTACCCAGAAAAACCCTGGGGATGAGCGATTTTTTCCGGGGAAAATTTGTCACCATACCTGGAAATATCTCATTCCCAGAACAGCTCTACACCAATTATTCTGGCTAATGAGGATATCACTATAAACACCAATATATGTCAAGTCATTCCAGTTCAGAAGCTACAGTACTGTCTCATTCAAAAACCAATTCAATAAAAGTTTCTCTGGGTTATCAGGAACTGATACCTACTTCAGGCAATGGTACTGAAATTTAGTTTAATTAGTGTAAATCAACTTCAGTTTGTTATTATGGTTAAACCAAAGACTTTTTACCCTCACTACCAAACAATTTGTCATATCATTTACTTGAGATAAATATAGTGCGTTACCGGTAAGTATTCTCATTAAAAATTGGGTAATTTTTCATCACAAATTTATTCATGCATTATTTCAATGTTGACTTTCAAATTCATTTTTTTATTTCCACCTCTGCTATACTATACTTTCTTCTATCATTTATCAAATACTCCTCATATGATCATCAAAGATATCAACATTTCCAGTGCTAAAGATCTTCAATATCAGAGCTTCTATAATGTTCTGCTTCCAGCACTTACTGTATCCGTATTCAAGGTTTCTCCAACTGTGCAACTTATTTCCCACACTGATGCCTAACATTATTTTCCATCTCCTATAATTCAATATTTCTAAGCATTTCCACTTAAGTATCAGATCTCCTCAAGTATCTCCCCATTTTTCTTCAGGAAAGACTTTTTGAAAAAGTTATTCTTTTTGTCCATGCCTTTAATATTAAACCATGCATGTTTTGTCTTTAAATTCATAGTTATAAAAAGAAAAATATTCTATAACCAACATCAGCCGCTCCAATAAATTAAATTAGAATGCACTTTGATTACCTGCCACCAAATTAACAATAATTAATTTTCATATGAATTCAACATTAGTAATAATGGGGAAATCTTACATCAGTACTTACCAAATCGGAAGCCTTCTCCTGAAGGAACGTCCTCTTCTGCTGGGTCTTCAGGTAAGGCACAACCGTCAAGTGGAACAGGCTGTGTAATCTCTGGACGAATCTCCTCTGTTAATAATAGATAAAAATAATTATCACAGATTTGGGATTATCAATCTTTATGTAATACACCACATTAGGCATAAAAAAAATGCACTTTATTTGAAATAACACTATTTCTACTACTGTACTCTGTGGGTCACTGGTAGAGGTACCATAAAGAAAGGAGTAAAAAGAAGTGTGGCGCATGATAAGTGTGCAAAATTTATAAGACAATTAGTAGAAACAGCCATACATACTTGCCCATATGATCATCTTGCACATGTGCACACGCGCACACACACACACTCTAGATAAAAATGAATCTTAAAGTTTACTTTAAGTTTCACTTCAACTCACTGTGTATAGAGTTCTGGTTTGATGAACCCTCATCAACCACAGGTTTACCATCCACAGTTCTGTGTACAGTGTCAACATTTCAAATATTGTAAACCAATTTATCAATTATGGTGTCCAGTCTTAAGTATCCGTGCAAGATTTCTAGCCTAGTGCGGCAGGAATGTTCACTGGAGGCCTATCAAGTGGTTCGTCTTGTTCACTTCATTATATGATCCCCAAACAACAATTTATTATCATCTGACATGCCCAGGTCCTCTTTCATTTATAATCTCTTAAAACCAATCTGCTCTTTTTCATCCTTTATAATTATTATATGCTTTATGGCTTTTTACTGTTCAAGCAGTAGTCATCACTTAACACTCTTGGAGTAAGGGAAGTATCAAGGCCAGGCATGCAGCTTAGGGGACTCTCCATTAAACTACGACTTTAATGTTTTTGGAATACTTGCAGTGTGCTGCATAACAGTTTTATATATTAGAATAATTTGTTTTTAAGTATAGCACACACCCTGTACTCATTCTTAACTTGAAGCTGTACATTATAGGAATTTAGGCATGTCTATAAAGGTATTTCCCAATTGACCCATCTCTTGCCATGCAAGCCACAGTTTTGCCAATTGTGGGAGAATTCTAGAATGTAACTCCTGTGGTTGGGAGGGATTACTGTATAATATGTTTGTGTACAAAATAAAAAAGAATAAAGGGTACCTGTATTTCAAAGCAATACAAAAATACTATTTGAATAACAAATGTTTGAAGATAATAAAGCTCACAAATAATGCACAATAATGTTACATTCCAGATACTGTATGCTGTAAAACGTGATAAGCAAGAGATTACTGAAATGTTTCTTATTCAAACACTTAAGCATAAATAGTTAAGTGTATAGCAAGTGTACTATAACATAAAATATTCTGCATTTTGTGTGAGCGAGTTAAAAATGTGAATGTGCTGAAAAAAGAAAAGAACTTAGAATAAAAAATGTCAAGCTTGCTTCATAAAGCAAACTGAAGCAAAGGTGCAGTACATGATGTTCAGTCCAAATTCCTTGGGACCAAGCAGTGTTCGAATTGTGCTGATCTTTTCACAAATGGGTGCCCTAGAAATAGGTGGGGTACAATATACTTTTAATGCTTCATGCTTAAATCACTTATAAACAAGCATATTGAGGTCGGCCGATCTAACTCCGTGCATGGTTTTACATTTTGCAATGCCCTTCTCTGAGTCAATCTTGATATTGATATTGTATATGGTCATGTTACTAACACCATAACACTTCATCAATACATACCAAACTAGACTGCACACTAGAATGTGGCACCAGTCTTTCATCCCTGGTCAGTTTCCAGAGGCTTTGTAAATAAGGAAATACTGTATGAAGTTTAAAATTTGACTAATTGACATGGTTATCTTAAAATTATATGCTAGCTTGAATCAGCAAACTCCTGCTGATCATATTAACCCTTTATTTTTATTTTCTTATGAAGAGGCTTCATGCAATGAACGAGTGGTAAAAAATTCTTATATTCAAATTAATTAACACAAAACAATAGGGGTACAGATTAATTTACAAAATGTGTCAATTTATGTTCCCAAACACCTACTTGTATAAAATCTATATATTATATTGGTCATTTACAAAACTATACCTGTATATAAAAATAAATAATGAAATGTTAATCATGACACTTGATCACTTGCACTTCCCCAAATGTAAATTTAGGTACCCAATCCCAACTGGGTTAACTACTAGTATAACATATGATAAAACCTTATGGCTCTGTGATGGGCACAGACAGAGTTATTAATGGTATTGATCTCACTGGCCACTCACTTTCTCCCAGTGCAATATGCTTTAATTATTGATCCTTCACAATTACAGTAATTCTTTAACCATTTGTCACTTTTTAAATTTATGGTACTGTACTGTACTCTACATGTATTTCATGCACAACAGTCAGCATCTCCTTATGTACTGCACTGCATCATAATCAATATATAAGATCAGCAATTCAAAATAAGAAAATCTATACATAATCTGGTTGAGCAAATACTGTACTGACTCCTGTAGTATGTAAAAAGAAGTCAATTTAACACTGACAATATTGCTTATGACACAACAGACATGTTTACTGAATACTTTTTACCATCTTTTAACCCAGTTCAACTAGAGTACTTTCAGTTTGATTTATGTACTAATAAAGTATTTTCTTCAGGTTTCCCCAATTTTGACCTTTTAATATTTTTTCTTTGCCATCTAATACTGTTTATGTGGAAAATCTATCATATTTATGTGGGGGAAGAAGAAGGGTAAGTACAGTATTACAAATAATTTGAATTTTTGATGGCTAAATGACATCAGCAGTAAAATTATTTAAAATCTAAATATGGAATCAAAACACACTAAAGTTATTCAGTCTCCTCCCAAAGCTTTAATGATATTATGGTCTTTATATTCTTCTCTGCACAGTTATAAAAGCTAAGCATAAAAACAAATATTTAAAAAGACTGCTTTTATGTCTCAACATAACTGAATTTTTAATTATTTTAGTCACTTTCGAAAAAATATACCAGACCACACAATTTCATCTGAGATCTTTACCAAGTAGAACATTCCTTGATAAACTTCACCAACACTAAATCTGTATGTGAAGACTTGTCATGTTTACAAACCAACAGAAAACAAACCACACACACACATCCAAGAAAGACAGACACACAATCACATGGACATGCATATAATACTAAAAACATTATAGTCACACAATCTTATTACTGTACTGTACTTCATACTAAGACAAGAATAACTAAATCAGCATGAACTTTGGGACTTGAATAAAATTACTGTAAAAGCATTGTATACAAGAAATCATTATTCTTGCAATTCAAAATAATATGGAAAACATACATTATAATATATTCATTTAATTAGCACTTCACTGTACAGGTAGACCCCTATTTACAAAGCATCGGTTAACGAGAATTTGAATTTCTAATTTTTTGGTGTAACCTATTTTCACTTATGAATAAAAACCCTAAAGTTATGATTTATTTATTTTTTTTATTACAGGTTGACAATCCCTTATCCGAAATCCTTGGGGCCAGAGGCATTTCGGATTTCAGAATTTTTCGGTTTTCAGAATGGTTAGTTTTTTTATTTATTTATTTATTTTTTGTATTAGCCCACCCAGGCACAAGTCACTGACCCACATTGGGGCCTTGGGGGGGATATTATAATAATAATAATAATAATAATAATAATAATAATAATAATAATAATAATAATAATAATAATTATAATAATAATTCATAGGTCTAGGTCGTGTTTCTCACTTTTTATCTTTTTTCATTCTTGTATTTTATTGTTATTATTATTATTATTTTATTAATAGAGTATTAATGTTATTATTATTACAATATTATAAATTTTATTATTATATTTTATTATTATTATTATTGTTATCATTATTATTTTATTTTGGTGTATTTTTTAATTTAAAATTTTATTTGCTATGAATAATTATTATTATTATAATTATTATTATTATAATTAGGATTACTATTACATTTTCGCCCCCCAGGCCCCGATGTGGGTCAGTGATCTACTGTATGCCCGGGTGGGCTAATCCCTGTTATACTGTATATAAAAAAGAAAAAAAAAGAAAAAAAAGAAAAAAAAAAAATGCTCCACAAAAAACTTTCGGTTTTCAGAGCTTTTCGGTTTTCGGATAAAGGGTTGTCAACCTGTATTAATATTTTCATATTTTTTTCTCAGTAACAATGAATGCCTTGTTAACATTCTATTTTAAATACTGAATATACAGTACACCTCATGTTGAATTTAACCTTAAATTTTGCATTCATTTGTCTACTTAAATACTCAAATTAATTTTAAAAATTATAAATAAAATCCCTACATACCGGTATATCTTAACATTAGAAAAATCTTTCTCTGAATTCCAACTACCTGTTGTTGTGGCCATGGTGGTGGTCGTACTGGTGGTGGTTGAACTAATAGTGGATGAAGTTGTTGGGGATGTGGGGATGGCAGAGAAGGATGTGAAAAGATCACTAGTTTCAGAAGTAGATGAGGGAGGGGAAGAAGTTGATAAATCTACTTCCACCACATCAGGGAAACTGGGCGGTTCAGCGATGATAGGAACTTCTTCATAGTCACTAACGTTGATTCTCATCCCTTCTTGCCCTGAAGTCCCGGGGTAAACATTCATAGAAACAAGCAGCAAACAAAGGCTAAATTAGCAAACACTGCAATGCTTAGAAAAAAATTGCCCTTGTGTGGACCTCTTTGATTAGTGAGTCAGTTTACTGGTACTGTATGCTGCTAGTACACCAAAACTGACACTAAAACTTGGCAAGGACAAATTATATGACAAAAGTTAAAGGCAGTATCTGCATCTAGTGCTATATTTATGACTATATTTATGCATATCAGTAAATTAGCATGCAATAAAAATATAATGACTTAAGCAAAGAGCAACAGTCAAAAAGAGTATCAAACTATACTGGTCAAGCACATGGGGATTGCTTCAGTAGTTATTTTACAAGAGTACCGATGTTTTTATCTATGAGTTACAGTATCTGGGGTATTACCAGGGTTTGACTTTGAGATAAGAAATACAGTACATGTACGTACTGATATTGAATAAGAATAATGCCCAAGAACTTCAAGTTACTCAAATGAAAATAGAAGCATATATGCCAGACATAACTCGGAGAGAAAAGAAGAAATGAATGCAGGAGCTTTCAAACTTAATTAAGAAAAAATAATTTTTAAAGATTAATGTACTAAAGTGGTAGGGGTAGGCCATCTTGCATGAAGAGATGAGCAACAATGGAACAAGAACCTTGACTGGATCTCACAAACAAGGAAACACTATGGAGTACATTAAGTGCCAGGTAGATACTGTATGTGAAATTATAAAGTTCAAGATGTGCATAATAGAAAAGGAAGGTTTGAGAGAGAAGTGAGTAGAAGCATATGGGAGAAGCTTTAAACTACTGAAGCCATCTCTTCCATGATACAGAGCCCGTATTTAAAAAAATTAAATTCAACAAAGGCATCTATCTAAAGAATGAATAAAAGACACAAATTCCAAATCATGCAACTTTTTTCCATACCAACAGATGGTTTCTCAAGGAATGATGAACTCTTTTGTAATGGACAGTTCTGCAGATGTGCATTGGGTCGTTCTCGACTTTCCGCAAAGTTTACAATTTGACTGTTAAGTGTCACATCTCCAATACATCCAAAGAAGTTTGTGTCAATGGCTGAAGCAGCAGCAGCTATGTTGTAGAACTCAGGAACCCCACCAAAATATACTGGTCCATCAAATTGTACCGCTTGTTCTGGTACTTTCACTCTGATGGTTTAACATGAAAGTTATGAGTTTTAGTTTCTTACAAGAAAAAACAAAAAACATAGTTTTCTCACTCTTAGTTTATGACCAAAAGAAGAAAGGTTCAATACTTCTAACAATTAATTCAGTGATGCTGCTTACTAAATACTTTAACACCTTCAAGAGCCCTAATGTAAAAAAATTCCCATAAAAAATTTACTCACTTATATGATTTAAAATCATCAATGTCCAGGCGCAGCTCATTATGTTCACGGGTAGCAATGACAACATGCCATTCACTGTCATTGTACTTGTCATATGTCCCTAAAAGAGAAGTTAATTACTTTTAGTAGAGAAAAAGCTGTTATACATTTCCCCAAAACAGAACAAAAACAAAGGACTGAAGTTGGAAATCCAATTTTGTGACTGAAGGAAAAAGTCTACCAAAGACGATCAAACCAGAACCCCACTTGAGAAGGACTATCTTCTTCAGGAGGATTTCTGCATTTAATAAAGGAACATTACCTTGTCTGATCATTGTAAATTGCCATATAATCGTTTAATAATTTGTCCCAACAATTAGGACAGAAATGATTTTACCCTGAAATGCTGGCATGGAGCTTGAGACTGCCCAAAATATATAGAAAGTTTGGTTGAAGTATGTGGTAGAAAAGGAGCACAAATGGGGCGGCACTCTTTAAAACTGACTAACAAAAGTGTTTGATTGTATTCCTCGGTTTCTTTTACAGGAAAATGTGGTCTAGGAAATGGTAATGAATCTTAGTTGTGGTGCCTTATGAAAACTAAGCCACAGCTTTAACCAACACCACTATAAACATCCCCTGAACATATCCACACTGATACTTTCCTCAATTCCTTTTTTTTATATTCCATCATGTGGATTTCTACAAACCAAACTTTTTCACATTTCCTTTTCTGTGAATACAAGTCAATAATGTTTAAAATTCATATACTATACAGGTATTAATATCTATACATCTCTGATGCTATTTCTTTAGGTAATTCCCTCATGAGAAAACAAGTAACAATAAAAGAATAGCATCCAGATCAATTAATATGACATCCTCACAAGATCTTTCTTTATGAAGCCTGGTTACTTTCCCCACCCTGCTGCTCCTTTTATACCTCTACTGTTCATCTATTTGCAATTGTGTCATCCATTATCCTCTGTATTTGTCTCAACCACCAAAAAGTATTTCTCCTAATCTGCTCTGTTATCCCACCTCACATGCATATATTATCTGACTTTCTCACCTGTCATACATCTTTGATACACCATTACAGTATTGTTTATCCCCTTCCATCTACAAGAACTTTCAAGTAATTTTCAACAGCCTGAATTCTATACCTTTCTCTTAGGTCTTCATTTGACTGTATGTCTGAGTCAGAAAGATTATGCTGTCTCCTCACACTTTTCTATACCGTATCCATTGCTACTTTTTGCTTTTAATAACCCACACTTGAGGAATGAAACACAATCTCCTTCTTTTGTTCTCTTACTTCTCCTTCCCCATGCCACTTATCCAAACCACTAATCCCAAAACTTTAAATTCATAAACCTCTGCCAAAACTTCATCAACATTGCAGTTTATTGAACTTTATTTACTGTATTTTACAAGGTAAATGATGTCTACCACTTCACTCTTCCTTCTCTCAAAAGCATTACCACATTATTTTCAATATTAACATGGAGCTTTCTTCTTATACCATAATTATATAGAACTCAATTACTACCTTTTCTAAATCTTACTCTGCCACAAGAATATGTTCATCAGAAATAAAAGCCAATCAACAATGACACTTTCCATCCAAATCCAGGTTTACCTAAACATGTAGGCTGACATACAGAAAAACATTTTAAACATATTCTCAACATTGTTGCTGGGTCTTCAGCAAGACCTAAAATATTCTGTATTCAAAATGTTTCTGGAAAAATTTTACCTGCCAAACAGTGTTTTAAATATAGAAACCAGAAATACAGTACATATAAAGGATAACTTCTACAATTGTATGACACATACCAAGTCGAGAGTGATAAGAAGTAAATGTATTTTATATAATTCAGAAATTATTATATCAATTTTAAACATACCTGTGGTAAGTTCGCCTCCAGGGAATGCACGAAGTATAAGAGCACTCTCTGCTAGAGACAGGGAGAGATAGCTGTCTTGATTCATTGTCGAAGTGTACAAGATTAAACCATCTGGTTCATCAGTCTTGAATTTGAACACAAGCTGTAAGCCACTACCTTCTGGACTGCTATGCTTCACATAGCCAGAAGATGTCTTATCAAATGATACAAGACTTGCCACCTGTAGGCAAGTCAATATATATAGACTGGTATAGCTATGACAGTTTCAACAACAAGCTATAAATGTGGGATTGATCATGAAATCCCATTTTATTACAAACATACCATGCTGTAAATCAGACAAATCATGTACAGTACTTGTGTTGACATACTGTACTCACAGGTTTAACCCCAGGGTTCCCAGGAATCCTCCTTTGGTCTATACTCTACAAATTCAGTAATAACTGAAAACAAGAGATAAAATCGTCCTGATGCAACTACAGCACCTACTGTATTAATAGGGGGTAGTACTGAAAATTCCCGAGTAGCCCAAAGCCTACTCCAAAGTGATGCAAGAGCTCTACAATCAGCCCACCAGTTAGTCACCAACTAAATTACTATTGATAAACAGCTGTAAAACGTCCATCAGCATGAAAAGTATATACTGTATCTAATGTACAGAACTGCATGACAACCAGTCTATCCCTCAAATAAATGCTTGAAATAAATAAACGAATCAATAAATAAGTAATGCAATTTGCTGGCCCAAAAAAGCAGCCTAGCAAGAAAAGTTTTAAAAGCTGGGGAACTAAAGAGCAGTTGAACATGACACCTGTTTTATAGCCTGCTTGAGTCACTGGGTCTATGAGTAATGGTGCAGTAGTTTAGACAGTCTGCTCTTGACTTCAGGCACCTGGTTTATCAGTGCTATCCCCTATATATACAGGTTACTGTTGATCCTGGAGAGATCCTGTCTCTAGTTTTATGGAATTAAGTAGTGTAGTCAGTTGCAAAAGTGAATGTTCCTGGGAACCCTTAAGTTAGACTCACAAGCTTGTCAATGCAACTACTGTACACGAGTTTCTTGACCAATTACATTATTAATAAATAACAGATTTTTTATAAGCAGATACGACCATCTCCCAATTATAAAATATTTATATGAAAAAATGAACCTTGAAGTTCTGACAAAAGAAGATATATACTGAATTACTCTACAGTCATGAAGACTTGCCAATTCAACAAAGTCACAATTCATGGTGCTTTTAAAAATCAATAATTGGAGTCAAGATCTTTAACTAAACCTAAGAATATAACCATGTTAATTTTCCCTTAACCCTTTAGCAATGATTACCATGCTGCGATGTCATGCCTGTTTGGGGGCAGTGGATAAATACAGTAAAATTCATTCAATTTCATAGGTTTACTAAATTCTACTAGGAGATAGACTAAAACTAAATACTGCACAGAAAACCTACCTTAATCGGACAGCCAGGAGCTGTGTTAATGGACTCCTTGTTCGTGGAAAGGTCTACAGCAACAGAAGACATGACAATATTGTCAATACATCCATTGAAGTCCTCATTTGTAAATTCTCTGAAGTCATGCTCTCCTGGGTAGCCACCAAAGTACATAGTGTCAGGTGTACTTGAAAACTGGCTAATATGACCAGGAGACTGTTCCTGTATTGTCTCAGATGCAATCTGAAGCATTATCAAAAAAAAATTGATGAACATTAAATACTTGACTTCTTTCTTAAAAAATCATTGACCGAATTTTGGCAAAGGTTCCACATATGGAAAAATCTCAAATTACAAAGGAAAAAAGGATCTTAAAAATATACATCACATATAAACAGACATGCTAAGTCAACTATACCATTCTCATATATAGTTTTCAGTGCATGCTCCTTTATTCAACCATATTTATAATTACTTCATAAAAAACTTCTTTGAATGCTTGAATGCTTACCTTTAACACACCATTACGCAGATGCCTGGTAGCTTCTACATGATACCACTCCCCATCATGGTATGTGTCGGCAGATTTTAGCGTAACAACACCAGACCCGAGGTTGTACTGGAATATTACATGACCTTCTTCCATCGCCACTACCATATACTGTCGCTGTTAATAGTAAATAAAGAATTACTTCACTTTATTAACATACTGAACATGTTAAAAATAACCTGACTTCATTAGTCCAATAATAATCATCTATATCAATTCTGATGAGGTAACAAGGAGCTATCTTCTCCATGGAAAGGTTAACCTGAAACAATGGGTCTCTTAGAGATTATAGAAGACATAAGAGAACAGAAATAGAGAGAAAAAATAAATAGACACAATGAGATGAGAGAGGATAAAATGAAAAACTTAGATAAAACAAGAGAAATGAATATAACAACAGGAGAGTAGAAAGAGCATGAAGTGGAGATAACAATATGGGAGAAGTGGCAAGGCAAGAATTAGAGATGGTATGACTTCTACAGAATGTCCATCTCTACTCACCACATTTTGTTATTCTTGCCTAATGTAATTTTATACTACAGCATATTAATTTCGAACATATTCACAAAGACTTATACTTACAGGACCTCCATCAATGATGAACAAAATGCCATCTTCAAGATACGTCTTGAAATCCATTTGTACGTCAAACTGCATCCTAAAGCGGTAACCATTACGAGTGTCTAAGGCTGCATATCCATTTCCATCAAACCGAAGGCCAGTTGGAGGCACTAGATCAACCAGGCGATCCCTGACAAGAGTGAGATATAGTATACCAGTGACTCATTCCTTATCACATGTGCATACTCTAAATTGTATCATATTAATTTATCAAATACAGACATTTCCTTTAATTGTTTAGAGCTCATAGTAATAATTAAATAACACTTATTAGACAAATAAAGGACAATGCAGTAAACCCCAGCTAAGAGTCATGATTCATTATTTCCCAACAAACAGACTATATGACCACTTGCTAGTACAGGTTAAATAAAAAATAAATTTAGATTGTACTTCACTAAACTTTTCATTCAACACCAACTAGGAGAAAAATGAAGGAGTCTGTTGTAAAGTTGATTCAAATTTCCTCCACAGGTCCAAGTTTCAGTGAAATGTTTTTCCATACAAATAAGGTCCATGAGTAATGTAGTTGGCTATATTGTGGCAACTATTGGGACATATTACTGTGATGTATTGGGGTTTACTTGACTTCATGATCCTAATGAATGTTATGTAACTTTCCTTAAAAATATTTCTACAATGTTTCAAGCAAAGATTCATCATCTTAAAATTCTTCCATACCTCTCCACAGCACCTCGCTGTTCGATGTTGTTGGTACCATCCATCATGAAGTTCCACAGTCCAATAGGTTGATCATTAAGACGAAGATCTTCCATTTGGCCATAGTAGGAAGTGCTTCTGATAGCACTATTAACTTCTACTCCAGCAGGGATGCCACCAACATAAATCTTGGACACTTTGGGGTCTAAATTGAACACTGAGAATCTGCCAGGTAACACTTGCTCCACTGGTTCACCTTCCATTTCTTCACGATGCACAGATAATTTTACCAACTTACCTGTCCTGTAAACGATATTATTCATTAGTTTATTTTTACTTGATTTAAGACACATAAATGATCATATGGTGTATTTCACCTGAGGAATATCATACGAGATTGATTGGGTCATAAAGGACTGCCAAAAGGAGGCTGAAGAAATTTAATCTATAAAAATTAATTTCAATCTCTACTAGCTGTTATTTACCTTTCAACAGTGATTTTACTCCAAACACCATCAGCAATGTACAACTTGTTGTACTCAATTGAATGTGCTCCAGCCCCAAGATCCATTGTGAGTCGGACAAAGCCACGGTCCATCTCAAGGGCCATGAAATCATCAGTGGTCGTACGTCGCATCCTCTGACTGCCTCCAACAGGTGTGCCCATAAAGAGTAGGAGTCCTGATGGTTCTTCTGTTTGAACAAACACTGACAACTGTGAAAGGAAATGAAATTACTTATATGTTTCCATTATGATTATAACATTACTTGAAAAAAAAGGTCAGTAATGCATAACTCAAATTTGTGTTAAATCCAAAGAAATTAAAAATTCTACATACAGAATCTATATTCTATGAACTATACTACTTTGTCACTACAGTATAAAGGAGGACAGTACAGTACTGTACATGTAAGACCTCCAGAATAGAAAATCTTGAAATTTATTCTCCAGATTCCTCCACCAAAATAACCTCCCCTTGTGGAAGTAATTCTTTTGTGCTTTCACATCTCTTTTGGTTATGCTTTGTCTATTCCCTCTCACATAACACTGAAACATTCTTTTCATCATTTTCTCCACATTCATTATCTGCAAACTTTTGACAATCAATTTTGTATTTATCAAACATATTTCAAGTGTTCTTTCAAATTCTGGTGTCAAAACAGACATTCCCCAGAACACTCAAAAAGACAGCAAATCCACATGATACAAAGGTGAACAAAGAAGAATACCCATTTGTTCACACTTAATGACTGATATATTCAAGCAGCCCTAAATTTGGAGAAGTATTACCTAATATTGTACCTAATTTCATGCAGTACTTGCAAGTAGTTACTGAAAACTAATTAAAAAAAAAAAGATGGATTTAATCAACACCTACATCAGTAGCCAAAACACGCTGACTACCACACAGCCACTAACATTACATTCCCAAACTAGCGATACTGGTCAGTAATTCTTTAAGATTTTGACCAAATTAACAATAACATACATAACTTATTAATACGTGAGCCTTTTTGAATATCAATATACTGTATCATAAATCTTTATTAATTGCAAAACTTTTGTATACTGTACTACAGTTTCATTAACTAGAGTTCTAAAATTAATGTAAAAGCAATAAATTTTTCCTACTTCTCAAATGCACAAAGAGATCACCAACCTTTGTAGAAGTGGTGGCCTTGGTGAGATCTTCTGGATTCTGCACTTCAATTGTAGTGTTAGGTTGAAATGACACACCCACTTTAATTTTATTTGACAACTCCCGAGTCTTTTGAATGGTACGTCGTAGCTTCTCCAAGCGATCCCCAACATCAATAGCAGTAGTCTGAATCTGTTCCTTTTGAAGACGCAAACGAGCAGCCAATTCTGTTATCATAGGGACTGCTTGCTGCACTCTTTCAACTAAGAATATTGGAGAAATAAGATGAAAGTAAACAAATATTACCAACATTTAGAACACAACCTACCTATGAAACTGATTATATTTTGTTGTGTTATTCATAGGCAAGAAGTTATGACAAGCAGCAAATTAGAGTTTAATGTGACTGACCAAAATTAAGATATGAACCAATAGTAAAAGAATAAGATTTCTCACAAAGCAATGTTTCTATAGAATGCAGCCATCAAACATACTTCGTAAGCTAAATACAACCAAAGCAATTCTATACATTCATTAAGATGGGAATTACATGATACACATTATCAAAAATAGTTACTTGGACTTGATTAACAAAGGAAGCAATCTTTCTTTAGTAGTTTTTCATCTTTACAAAGGATAAAAACAAAGGTTTGCTCCTTTATGAAATTCATGCTGCACCTGTATGACATGTTCCCTAATACTGTGAACCAAAGCAATAATTGGGTTGTAAATTTTCTCAGTTTACTTTAGATGACCATTAAATAATTCAAAGTTCATAATATTGTACTGTACAGGGTGCAATACAAAATCTAGTACAGTACAGTGACCCCTCCGTTAACGAACTCAATCCGTTCCAGAAGGTCGTTCGTTAACCGAAAAGTTCGTTAACCGAAACCATTGTTTCAATGGGTTTTTGGGTAATTGGTAGAAAAGTTCACTTACTTTGAGGTGTGTATGTAGAAGGCTCCTGGATGATGATGATGATGATGATGATGATGATGATGATGATGATGATGATGGGATTTAGAATGGGGGTGGAGGAGAAGGAAGAAGAGAAGGCATTGGGGTGGAAGAGAAGTCACCCCATGGCGCCATTTCACCCATAAAATTTTAGCTCTCTTGGTGTAATTCAAGATTATTTTCTTTAAATCAACACTGCACTGCATTATATATTGTCAATATGTAAAATATATTTCAAAATGACCAATAATTTGCTTGGAAACACAGAAAAAAAGCGTTTAGTTGAAGAGAGTCTCAAGCAAGATGTTACCTCCAGTGAAAACAGAGAGACTAACTCCTGTTTGCTGTGTTAAGAGGCTGGATGCGCACATTAAACTAGTCACTTTACCTTCAATTATGTTCAATAATTGTTAAAATGACTAAAAATTGAATATTAAACTTTTAAAATTATTGAATAGTATAAACTTCTTGATATTTACTAAAATAGTAAGGAATTTAAGCCCTAGAACCGATTAATGTATTGGCGGACTGATACTAAAGCTGGTTGCCCGGTCAGTGCAAGCGAAAACATGTTGAGGTCGGTTCGTAAGAACTTCGTTAACCGAATTTTTTTTCATTAACCGAATTGAAGATCCTTATGGAAGGCAGTTCGTTAATCGAAATTACGTTAACCGAGGTGTTCGTTAAACGAGGGGTCACTGTATATATTTTCAAATTTCTGTACTTTGGTGAATAACCCTATTTCTATAAACCATGGGAAGCCCTTTGTACCATCATAAACACAGGTAACTACTGTATTGCCAATTTAAATACTGGCAAGTCACAAGTACCAATATGAATAATGGTAAGCCACTACAGTACCGTACTGCTAAAGTGAATATTGGTAAACCACTAATACTTATAAGAACAACGGCAAGCCATGTGAACAGATTCATCATTTACAGATGCATAATAAAAATGAAATGAAATCATAATAATTAACAAACTAATCTTCTCTCTCACCAACCTTGTTTACTGGCTAGTTCTATAGCCTTCCCTGCCTCTGCCCTATTTCTCATTAGTAAACGTGCATCTTCAGCAGCTCCAGGTAATTTTCCTTCAACACTGGCTATGTTTTGAATGGCTCCATCAGCTTCCTCCCTAGAGCTAACAGCAGCTTCCTTAAGTTTTGCAGCATTTGTTGAAACTGCTTCTTCATCAAGGCTGTTCAGTTTACTGTGTTGTTCCACATATGAAATAACAAAAATAATAAATGGATCCAGTAATATCATTGCATAACAAGAAAGAAATGGTAACTCATGTACAATTGACAAGCCTAAGGTTTGAAAACCAGGTTCCCAGAACCTGTGACATGTGTCTGATAAGACTAAATTCTAGATATCAATCCTAAAAAAGCTCAATCTTTTCCAGTGCAAACATTGTCCCTGAAAAAAGGGGAATGACATGTACTAAATCTTCTGGAAGGGTTGTGGTTGTGGGTCAGGTGGTGTAAGGATCTTTATGGCTGAGAAGTGGGTGGAGAATGTGCTACTGTGTGAAGAGGGTAAATATGAGAATTCTGCATATGCCCTACAGGTCAAGCAAACTGAGGAAGAAAAGGAAAACCAGGAGTCCTTCATATTTTAATCTTATAACTTAAGGCACATCTTATGGCTGAAGTAAAATGCACTAATAATATAGCCAAAAAGGCAGTCGAGTAAAGGAACACCCCTGACAATAGGTCATACAATGAGAAGTTCTACAAACAAATTGTTGTGATGCAATAGGAACAATTACTTCAAACTGGGAAAGTATCTCTATAGTGTGTCTTGCCTGAGATAAAGGACTGGAATGTGTCCACAGTGGAAAATGGACACAGTTGGGTTGAGGGGTAGTGCACACTCAGCAAGAAACTTGTCATCAAAAGCCTAACTTTCCTTATTGAACAGCCTATTTTACAATTAGCTGGCTATCAGATCCCCAAAAGTATTCCAATTTACCTTAAAATAGATCATGAAGCACCCGAATCATCTCCCCAAAAAGATATTAACCAGTTTGTGTAGACCCAACAAACTCTCAGGTGGGACAAGCTGTGTGACTTTTCTAAATGGAACATTCCAGAAATTCCATTAAAAACAAAAAACCCCAAGGAAACAAGAAACTACAATCAATATAAACAAATGGCAAAGCTGTGATACTGTACCAGAAATGTAGTATTGCCCTACATTCAGTTATGTCATTAAATTACCTTAACTGGTTTATTAAGCACATGAAATACTGTACCTGCAATCTGATACACACCTTTAATAAAATACTCACACCTAAGGCTGCTAGGAAAACAAACAGAAATTGAGATAATACTGTAGTCCAAAACATGACAAGAGAGAACGTGTTGCTGAAATAAAATGAAGTCAGGAGGTTTGATCTGCATGCTCAGGTGACTTATAATGAGCATAACATGCGTATTAGTGTTCTGTCTGAATAGCAACTGAAAGCTTCCTAAATACCCTTTTTTGAAGTTGTGTTGGGAGAGACTAACTGTTTTGCACATTTTTTCCTGGAACTTAGTTCTAGTCACACATGCCACAGATCCTGGGACCTCTGGTTGTCAAACCATTAATGGTAACAATTAAGGACAATAGAATGAGTTAACCAGCCACCTGAGCAAAAAATATATATTAAAAATCTTATTTCTTATGGTAACTCAACACTAAAGCAAACCGAGTGAAGATATAGCACTTTTTCAAATCAGGTGGGTGATAGCAGCATTGTCTTTATCTATGAGAGAAACCCAGGACAAAAACATGAATATCAAAACTGCTATTCCTTCACCCAATTTGCTTTTGTCTTGAGGTAAGAAATATGTTTTCAACTACAGTACTATACAGAGATTTTTTGTCAAGTGGCTGGATAACCTAGGCTTTTGTCCTTAATAAATTATCCCATGAACTTGTTGACTGTACATTAGTTGTCCATTCCACAAACAAGATTTAAATAATGCAAAGAAAACATATAAGTTCATATTCAAATTTATGTCAAGAGACATGCAAACATTCAGATGTACAGATTTCCTCTTCATTTCTATCAAACTCCCTCATAACAACACACAATCTTGCATACATACACCCATAGTTTTTAACTTTTTAAACTCAGTTTTGGTCTTCTATTGCAGTACACCATCTTTTTAGCTTACTCATAAATACAGTTCCATTAATCTCCACACATGCACATTACCCACATGGTCATCTGAAGTAATCATTCCTTACATTAATGATCTAAAAAGTTAATACTGTAAGCCTAATGCTTTTAAAATTGAATCTTGTATAAATGTCACAGCAAAATGTTAAAGAAACAGATGATAAATAGGTCGATTCATTAAAAAAATTATTCACAGGCAATCTTCAAAAACTCCTGTCTTATATCCATAGGATCATATTGCTGAGGGCCAAGATCTCAGATGAGATCAAGGGTTATTGACGGAGCACAAAGGAATACAGGAACTTGCCAAGACAACACTGAACTTGATACTTAGGCAGTCCATACATTCTAAAAATGACTTGTCATCAACTAATGTAATTCATTAGCTTTTCTACATATCTTAATACACACCATGAATAAAATTTATACTGTACAGTATTACCTCGCTTTACGCGTTTTTTTTTTTTTTATGCGTTTCCACGTTTACGCGGTACCCTGCCAGACCCGGAATGCTCACCTTAGGCGGTGCATGTACTTTTTTACGCGGAGAGCGGCACAGGCAGGGTGCGCACAAGGTCGCCCAGTCATCAAAACATTACTGAGTTCTTCACCCGCCACCCACCACAGCCGGCCCAAGTCAGTGATAGTGAGGATATGGACTTATATGGACTTTGAGGGGTTTGACAAAGAGGCCCTGCAAGCCTCTGTGGTGGATAGTGATACAATTGATACAAGTGATACAGGTGAGGGCCAATAATCTACCCTCTGCCTCGGAACCAACCCCCCCATCCCCGTGTGCCCAGCCATCTTTTCTACTAATGTAAGTGTTAAAAAAACCTAATATTATTGATATTTCTCTTAATTATTAATTGTGTGTGCATACCATCATAAAATTAAGAAGTTATTTTTACTACAACGTAGGTATTGTGTCTGAAAAAGTGGAGTTTGGGGGTCGGCCCAGTCTCTATTTCAATTAATCCCATATGTTCTGTTGTTCACTTTAAGCGTTTCCCGCTTTACGCGGGCCTCCGTGGGTTCAATTGACCGCGTAAAGCGAGGTTTCACTGTATATGTTTTCAGCACTCTTGTGCCAAGATAAAACTAAATTATGAGGCTTTACTACAACAATTAAAATTTTAATTTAACCTTTGAATAAAGTCCAGGATGGTAATTGGTAGCATTTAATAACTGTACAAAAAATTCAAGAGAATATATATCTTTTTACCTCTCTATAACTGCAAGGTTGTCACTAATGTACAAGTTCATGTCCTTAAGATTGCTCACATCTAGTTGAGCTTGTGTCAGTTGAGGACGTAACTCCTTCTCAACCTGTTGTGCTCGGACCTCTGCTGATCCAGACTTCTCCTCTGACTGTGTTTGAGAGACTAGGGCTTGGTCACTCAGTCCCTCAGACTTCTCTACTGCCTGTGAAAGATTCATTAATGGATTAAAAATTTCCCCTCAGTATAAACATAATTTTTTCTTTCAAATTTAATCAAGGTGTAGTATTCCACAGAAACAAATAATATTATTTATGAAACCTACTTGTTGTGCAGACATGTTAGCAGACAGGGAGGCATTGTAAGCATCATCAATAGCAAAGACAATATTCTTATAGGCATTAGCTGCAGCAAGAGCATTCTCTGCTACCTCTCGTGTGTCTGCTAACAATTCATCCAACTCTTCAGCCTGAAATTAATTAATTATTAACCATATTCTTGTGGCATAGGCTGTTGAAGAAAGGGTAAAATCATACATGAACCCCACTCATCATCTTTTCCTCTCAAATTCCAATTCATTATAAAAAATATATATTGTAGTACTGTATCTGTTATTCCATGTCTCTCTCTTCTTACCACCCTCTTCCCCTCAGTCAAAGGTAAAATACTTCTGAGATATATATCACAAAAGTCATGGACATTAAGACTTTTCAGCCCTCAAAAGAAGACTGACTTCTGAATAAGAATACCGACCAGTAAGTAATACTGCACAATACAGGTACCTTTCACACATCAGATCAACAAGTCTGTTTAACCCCTTCACTACAGGGATGCCACTTTTATTATTTCATTTAGCAAATACCAGATGTTTTATTCAGAAGAGAGAGACCCCTTGTATCCAAGAGGTTGATAACTTATATTGATAAATTTTGTGACAATATGTACAGTATAGTAGTTGTAGGTTCAGTGTCACACTGGTCTAGAAGTAAACACTACTGTACACCAAACACCTTTTAAGTAAATGGGAGACAAAGAATTCACTACAAAAATGTAATCAATCTCACCCTTATTCCCAGCTGTTCAGCATGACCCTCAGCTCTCTGGGCAGGATACTGTGCCTCCTCTAATTCCTTCATCATCACAGTCACACTGTCATCTAAAGTTGATTTGACTGCACGAAGATGTTCTATTTCCATCACTGTTACAAACACAAAAAAGTTACATTACAGAAAATTCTAATAAACTATGCCAAACGAATGGGAAAATAAAATTTATGCAAACAAATGAGGAATGGGGTCAAATAATACTAAATGTAATAAAGTAGTTGTTTTGGTTGCCCAAGAAAGTATTACTGAACTGTGTAATATTTATAATGATAACATTTTTCCCATTGTTTCTCTGACCACAGTCATACAAATGGTATACATTCTTAAAAATCATCTAAAAAAATTAAGATTAAGTCTACTGTAAGTACTGTATATCATTTAAGACTTACACTATTAGTGAAATAATGTAATATGACCAATTAACACTCGTTGCAGTACTGATGTATGAAGTTAAGGGTTGATAGAACAGTATATCACAGAGCAGCCCAACATGTACCCAACACATCCTACAGTTAGAAGCATCTGATCTATACCAAATACAGTATATACTACAGTTACAAGTCATATGTACCAAGTAATTCATAGTTAGCTGATGCGTTGATATGATTCCCGTTGGCCTGATCAACCAGATTCTGAGATTCTTCTAACTCGGCAGCAATCACCCTATCCAAGCGACGTATTTCTTCCAGTTTCTTTTTCAGTGACTTGTATCTGCACGGAAAATAGGTGAAGAATTTTCAGTTATCTTTGTTACAATCTCATATTAACAAAGATGTGAACGGTTTCACAGATCTCCCTAGTCCAAAGTGGGTATTAAATTAGTTCCCTCTACTGATAATCTAATGGGTCTCATGGAATTTATTAAGGACACAAGTCAACAAATAAGACAAAACTCGTAACATATGTAACTATCAAGCAAATGTTTAAACATGTATATCTTCAACAAACACTAGAGACTGTATGGCTGCTATAAGGTCCTGTATTCCACTATCATTTTCACGCAATATAACATAAAGCCTATACTCTGGTACTTATCTCTCTCCAATAATCCAGGAGAGAGAGAATAAAAGAAGAAAGTCAGAAAAAACCTGAATGGAATGTCCTTTCTTAACATAAGTGATAATGTGATGGTTATTTATGAAAGGGAGAACAAGTGAGTGTTCCTGAGCATCTAGAGGCCCTTATATCCCAGTGAATATCCATCTTTATGAATTGAGAGATGAGGGTTTGTCTGGAGGCCTGGTTCTTTTGATGGTGACTAGGAAAAAACCCCACAATTTTGGTTAGGTTAGGTTAGGTGACTTTTTTCTCTGATTAATTTTCCCTGTGAATTTTCTTTTCTAGATTTGTTTTGATAGTACAGTACAAAGCCCCTTGTATGAAAACATGACAAAGTACCTCATCACAAAAGGTAAGCAAAGTACTGTACAATCAATAACATATCATGCTTGAAATCCCGACTCATAAATATAAAACTAACCAGTCACATTACCAACAGTTTCCTATGGAAGAAATACTAATTGGAAAATACAATTTACCCATATAATTTGTTGTTACGGATCTGGTGCTCTGCATCAGTTGTCTGTTGTGTGGCCTTTTGGATGTAATCTCTCATTTCCTTAATCTTATTCTCAAAGTTTGTCAAATGTTCTTGATATGAAGTTAGTGTATTCCTTTGGCCCTATGGGAAGTTAATTAAATCATAAATTTATTTTTATTTTATAAGAACACATTATAATCACTTGGCCATATGGGAAGTTAACCAAAATGATTTTTTTAAATATTCCTTTCAAAGGGTTTGACATTGTGACTTTAACCTCACTTCTTAAAAAATCTACTAGAAGTTTCTTTTGTAAATAAAAAACTACAACACACACTGATGTAGTTATAGAACAATTTACAGACATGAAGTTATATGACATCAACCTAAAACCCAAGTTCATTTATTAAAAATGTAATTATTGACCATTAAAATTAAGTCAAACTTTCTTTTTCTTTTTACACTTTCATGTTCCATCCTATTAAATGCAGGGTGGTTAGAAACATCAATAAAAACACACAAATTTTTCCATTATATAGTCTCTTTCATTCATCCATTCTCTTGTGTGTGAATTATGTGAAATTGTTCTGTTTTGATACTCCCCTTCCAAAACAAGGCCCCAAATCTGGTTTAGCCCTATTACTTCACACAATCCAGCATCACTCATCAGCAGCAAGCTCTTCCTTATAATATTGTTTGACTCCAAGTTCTACACTCACTCTTGAACAATGCTACCTCCTGGATGTCCATTCCCTCTCTTCATATGTGCCCTCCGTCCCATCCTTCCATTTCCATGCAACTCTGATACTTTTACCAATCTATCATTTCCCATTTCCTCAATATATCCCATTCACTTAAGAAACTCACCTGCTCTCTGCCCAACACTTCCTTCACTTAATTTTATATTTCCTTTTTCATCATATTTACCCCACTCATTGCCCTCAAGCATATAATTTCTTACATTTAATCTGTTTTTCACCTTCTATCCAGAGACCTTATTTCATACCCCCATAATAATTTCTTATCAGCATTCTCCCTGTACTTCTCCTTCCTTGTCTTCAACACAGATTCTTGCCATACACTTCAATACATTTGCTTGACATGGTGATACCAATACTACAGTACAGTATTTATAAATCCTAAAATATTATGCCAAAAACATTCTGTACCTTAATTGGTTCAAAGAAAGTTCCCATGCTGTCAAGGAGCTCCTCTGCTGTTTCTTTCTCCTCTTCCACCTTACCCAGCTGCTCTGTAGAACTGCGTTTTTTCATCTCTTCTACCACAGCTTCTGCTTCACGAATAGCTTGTTCTAACTGGGCCCCTGGGAAAACAGGATGATACTTCATGCTTTGGTCTTTAATTCCATAATGAGGAAGTGTTTGTTTCCATCACTATCTACTCTTTCATGGAAAAAAAAATAGCCCTCTACATATTACAAAACACTGAGATTCTACTGTATATACTGTATAATAAACATATACTGTATCAAATTATCCTACAATTTTACAATTGAATAGAAAAAATAATTATTCTCACTAATATCTAATTCATACTACAGTAATTATGATGAAGTAAAAGAGGTTGTACAACATGCAAACCTTTTATACATAAACAACTAAACAGGAAAGTCATTCCAGGTGATGCAAGGAAGCTATCAAGAAAAAATAATGTTCTTACCTGTGCCAGTCTCCAGACCAATCACAAGTCTGTTGATCTCACCAATGATGCCCCGGGCTGAATTGAAAGCATCATCTACATCTTCTCGAACCCTTAATGCTTTTACATGAATTTTAAAGCTATCTGTTGCAGCCCCTCCAGCTCGATCCAATACATGTTCACTCTAAAATATACATAATAGTTAATCACATATTTTACTGAAGCAGATAAAGCACTACATGATATTTTTGTCATAATTTCTAATTCATTATTCAAGTAATTATAGACATAAAATTATTATAACTCTTCCTCCCTAGAAGAGAATAAACTCCCATACCAATGAAGAAAACTTTTGCAAAAGATCCGAGTGACTGTGAAGAGCAACAGAATAAGTTAGAAAAATAAACAAGGTCCATGGTATAAATGATTACACGACACAGTTTACTTTGAAACAGAAAAGCATTTCCAGTAATTTAAATCTGACCAAAGTATAATAAGAGTAAGTATGGCTCATCTGTAAACACTTATTACCGATAGCTATATGTTTAAACATTTACTATAAATTTTACTCTATTTTCCACTAAAATCCTTTCAGTTGTAGGCCAAATGGCATCCTGTTTGAAAAGGCCCTACCCTAACCTATCCTAAAAAAGGAGATGGGAGCTCAACAGGACCAGGCCCCAATCCTAAAAGTTACAAAAGAGGATTCTTTAACTGTACATCAATAGGATTAGGGCCTACAAGGACTATAGGCCATTAAGATTGGGGTTTATTTGACTGCAGTCTGATAAGGAAACCTCTATACATGAATTAAGTAGCACATGCCAAAGTTAAGTGACATAAGCTGGGTTGGAATTCAAACTAATACTGTATTAGAGAGTAGAAGAGTAGAAAGCAATTTCTAGAGGCAGATTACAACCAAGGTCCAATCAAACCCAAAAGCTTCTAATATTTCACAAAACCAAAATTCAGGAAACACGTGGGTGTAACAGATCTGAGACATAGATGGTAGTAATGAAGACTCAGACCAGGACACAGCTGGTTGTTAATGAATTCTTTTCCTCAAGTGTTTAGATGAGGATGAAAAAACCTACTAGTACTTAATTTTGAGGAAAGGCAGTTTGGCATAATATTGAGGTAATACTGTATACAGTACTGTATAGCATTCTCAGAATGCCTGTGAGGGTTAGCCATGAACCTATGATTACTTGATGGCATGGTGTCCCATTTGCTATCAAGCAAATCTGAAGTAAGTTTTATGGATGGATGCTCATCCTATTGCTCACCCAATTTTACAGAGTGGGAACTAGGCATTCATCATAAGACTTCCAAGCACCTTCATAGCTGGCAAGGCAAGGTTGCAACTCCCTGAGGTAATAAAAATTTTCTTGCCTCCACTGATATCCATTAATACACCGGTGTAACAGACAAGAAAAATGCAAAAGAAAACGAAAAGTTTGATTACATTATACTCATGCATCACATATAAGTGCTAACTAGCTTCTGCCAGCAGATGATACATGCTGCACAACAGAAATATAAATAATTGATTCATAATTACTTATATGTTTTTATAATCATGAGTAAGCATAAGCAATCTATTCACTGGCAGTCAAAATAAACGGTAGATAACAGTCTTTTATTTTTTTAACCCTGCCACAGTTATAAGAGAATTCTGATTACTTATGTTCTAATAAGACTGAGTATCATCTATATAATGCACTGTCTTGTTACAACCTAGATCAAGTGTGCCACACATTATAATAGGCTCTAAATTCTAATGAGCCTCGGTGGGCCCCAAGACTGATGACAAACACATACAGTACAGGTATATTATAATATTAAATACTTATTAATAGAATTTACACATTTGTGTGGCAGTTTATTTTAATCCCAAGAATCACACACACAAGAGTTTCCTAGTTATAAGTTGTTCAGATATTGCAGAACTTAGTTGTGGCTGAGCAACTAGTAACTTACTTGAGCAGACACAGACTGTGCTTCTTTCATGATGGAGTTTAGATCGCCTTCTAGAGGTACATTCTCAGCCTCAGACAAGTCCAGCAAATTAACTTGAGGTCGAAGTTCATACAAAGTCGAGTTGATAACTCCCAGTCTTTGGTGTAGGAAAAAGCTATATGCTGCAGTCTGTTGGCAACAATGCATATTAATATTAATAACAGGAGGTTTGCCATCATTTTGATTACATATTCCATATGGTGACATCCATATTATTTAGTTCAAATCACAAGTTTTCAAAAAGTAATCTAATGACACAAATCAGTAGGAAATAAAAAAGCTGTTAACACCTATTAAGTTAAAACTCAATATTAAAAGAATAAGTCAAAGACGTACTGAACATCTGGAATAAGTGGCAATAAATATTGCATTAGGTATTGATTGAGAGTCCATTTTATAACTGAAATGTGACAAAGAGACTCCAAGAAGAATAACCAGTCAGTTTCTTCTACCAAAATCCAAAATAAGAATCCTTAAACCTAAATCAGCCTCCAGCTGGATATTATCATTCCATGAGCAAGACACCCATTTGATTAACAAAATAAACTCTCCTCTGATGATAGAATTATGTACATCCTGTAATGTAAAACTGGGTTCCCCCTTAACACAGTATGAGAAAAGGCTGGAACCTGCAACCACATGCTGGTTGAATTGTCAATTGCAAGGTGAGTGCATCCATTACTTTGGGTATGGAGACAGCTGCCAGATTAAGGACCCTCACTACTTGGGAAAACAGAGAAAGCCTTGGTAGTGGAATTCCAATATGGCAGATAACAAACAAGGGAAGGTAAGGCTGCTTATGCTAGTGTGGCCAAGAGTCAGTCAGTCTTTGAGAGCAACCTTGGTTCCCTTTTTAACCTCTTCACTATGGGGACGTCACTTTCAATATTTTATTTGGCTAACACTAGATGATTTTATTCGGCACAGAGGTGACCCCATACACAAGGGGTTAAGGAATATGGTTACTATGGGAAGGTGTTGCTAATCATCTGAATAGCACCAATCATAAACTGGCTTGATGTTATAAAAAATCATGAAAAGGAGAAGTCACTCAACCAAGACAATATAGTAAGGCAATATGTAAATCCTTTTATGTGATCCATGTTATAACATGGAAATTTGGTAAAATGCTACATAACTGATGGACCCAGAACATCCACATCACCTACCTTGGGATTTGAGTTTAGTGAGTGAATTATCAATGCCCATTAAAGAAATATAAATGTGTTTTAAGTAATTTAGTAAGAATTACCTCAAATTCATTGATTGTTGGCTGAATGAGCCATGCGAGTTCATCAGTGGTATCCAGCAAGGCATGGACACATTCTTCACATTCTTGGCAACCAACACCATCAACCAAGACCCACCTGAAAATGTATATTAGTGCTTCATTTTATGTGTGCTGACATTCAAGTTATTTATTTTTAAAGCTACAGTACTGTATACATCAACAGGAATTTAGATTTGCATGCAGAATATTAATCATAAAATTCAAATTTCTCAATGTGGCAAGTAACTTCATAATAGTGTACCTGTAAATTATAATTTCAAACACTACCTGTATGGGCATCCCTCACAGTTTGTTCCTATTACTCCCGGTAAACACTGACACTGACCAGTCCGAGGGTTACACCCAACACCTACGCTGAAACCTTCACGGCATGTGCATTCTGCATGGAAAGAAACCATTAAAGATTAAAGACATTTGTCAGAATTTTTTATTTTTTTTTATTTACAAATTTCTGTTGAAAGAATTCTGAAAACCCCCTTTATGACCTCACAAGTAGGAAGCAACTGACATATAAAGTCCACTAAAGCCTCATATTTTGGCCTACACTGAAGATAAGCCTAGTGAAGGATCGGATGTCAAATTTCTGACATCTGCAGATGTGAATGTGACAATGTGACATTGTAGTATTAAAAAGATACAACAGAGAATATAAATGGATAAGAATTCTCAATATCAAGTCAATTTCTGAGCAAAATAAATAATTATAAGGGATTCAAGCACCACAGAAACCCATAGTGTATTCATTTGTCTTTGTCAGAGTTGAATATAAAGGATTTTTTGCTTTTGCTATGCTGGTGGACCAACTAAGATTAGAGAAATGTTGACAGAATGCAGGTACAAGAAATCTCCGCATTTCTGGGAATGTTGGAGAAAATAAAGCAAAACAAGATGAACACCACCAACCTTGGCATCCATATCGAGTGTAATTCCAAAAGCCTGGCATACAGTGGTCACATCGCTGACCAGTAACTCCACCAGTACAATGACACTGTCCAGTGCCTTCATCACACTGGCTAGTTAGTGATGCTATCCCGCACTGACAAGGCTGACAACCCTGAATAAATAAAAAATAATAAAGTTATGGAAACAAAAATCTAAATAAAATGTACTCTATGACCTCTAACAAACATTGAAAACCTTGACCTAAAATAATTGGGACATAACAGATGAATTATATCTTTAATTAACATTTCAGGAATCATTTAAATTGGTCAACTGTAAAGCCCACAGTTCTTTGAGTCAAACTTAATTTCACTCCCTACCTCTTTAACCTATAGGTGAATCAGACAAAGAACCCAGTTAACAGTACAAAATTAAATAAAGGTAAAAAACAAAACAATCAATACAAATGAGCACAATAATGGAAGATCATCTGATATGCTACTTTGACTCTCGGCTAATTATTAAAAAATTTACACAGTAATAAGAAATTCACAACCCTTCTGCACAGGAAAACACTAACAAAACTGGGAAACTTTATACTGCAGTACTAAACTAAGCAGCTCCTTTCTGTGCAGGAACACGGCTGGATCTGACCAGGTGATTCTTGAAACATCATCTTATAATGTGTGTCCAATAAAGGCAGATAGATAATGTGTTTATGCTTAGCTTAAAGACCTCAAACTTCCTAGTTTTATGAGCATCTTCATGCCAAAGATTACTCTTATAGAGACTCTGGTTTGAAGGTGATGGTAAAACTAATTTTCAAATTACTTAAGTATTTGAATTTTATATGCCTGTCACAAATATCTGGACCCTAAACCTAAAGATTAAACTTCTTAAACTTAGTGGCTCTGAAGAGTTATTTAATCTCAATGTTTATTTATAAATTACTTAAATAAAAGTATGGAACAATCAACCAGATACACCCACATCTAACTGTACATTACTCCTTACCTGGCAAGAGGCAAATCCCCAATGGTCAGGAGCACATTGGCCACACTGGTTACCAATGACATTATCAAAACATTCACAAACACCAGAGAAGTGTTGACAATTCCGAGTGCCACACTCATCACAGGTACAACCTGCAAGACAAGTGAAAATTTGAATATTTCATTCAATTCTGCTCCTAATAACTTAATTATCTACACTTTACTAAAGTACTGTAATGTTGGGTGTGTATGTGTTAATTTATGTAATTTACAATACGTACATCTTAATACATAAACCTTCTGAATTATGAGTTAAAGGTAATTCAGAATAAAACAATGGGAAAAACATCATAAAATGAGACAAAGAAACAGTGATTTCGATATCTAGATTGATATGGGTAACTCATCATATGTCAAACCCTTCAAAGTGCCAGACACAGCGAGCTCACATTTCTGTTTTGCACAGTACAAGTACATGGGTTATACTGTACAGTACTACACTCTTGATTACCCAATCTACATAATGTACTGTAATATTGTACATCCGTCTGTATTTTACTTGATATCTTGTTAAAGCTGAAATCTGTGAACTTACTTTCCTTTGGACATCAATAGAAACATTAACAAATGGTATTAAATTTATCTCACCTACACCAAATTCAGACCACTCAAGGTATGCCTTGCCATATCCTTCCCCAGCGATGCGTTCTTTCTTCCTTCCCTGTCTGCCTTGTTGAGAGCCCCGGGGAGATGGATATGTTTTGGGACGTTGGTTACTTTCTCTACTCCAACTTTGACCATGTCTACCCAGTGTTGTGTAATGAGTAAGACCAATGGATGATTCAATCAGAGGGGGAACTGTTGTTTCCTGAGCAATGTCAGTTCTGCTACGGTGATGGCCTATTACTTTCTGGCCTCTAAATCTACCATGACCAGAGGTAGATTGCCTCTGATGACCTGAATTTCTATGCTGCCCAGTGTTTTCATATCTCCAGGTGGATGTAACCCTTGTTGGTTGTTGTATTGCTACAGATGATGTAGAAGTACTCTGATTACTTGACTGGAGTGAACTTCCATATTGTCTTCTATACGTGTCTAAAGGCCTGTATGAATCATAGCGAGAGGAGGAGGTAGAAGCCCTGGAGTGAGCATGTCTTGTTGCTCCAGACCAGGAACTAGAGTTTGGCCTTGACTGTTGCTTGGTTCTTGAAGTGCCATATGTAGTACTCTGATATTGACACAGAACTATGCCTACTAGCAGTAATAACACACAATAACGCAACATGCTTCCTGCCCCTCTAAAGCAGGCAAGGCACTGAGCCAACCTAACCTACACAGCTCACACTATTAGCGACTCATCATAGGGGCAAAGCCTCTTGGTAGCTATTCATAAGTAAAGCACATTTCCCTACAGTATAATTATCAAACAACCAAATCTATGATATATTTTAAAGAATCCCCCTTCCTTTATTAAAAAAAAAATTAATAAATGAGGATAAATACATACCTAGCTTTGTAAATTATTATTATAATAATATCTGGCAGCCCCTGAGAACCACCCTGCTGGCACAAACCACAGGTCACACCATCACTGCCAAAAATATATCACAGCTGCTGCCCTTTCAACTTTCTAAGACATATTACAACTAATGTGTTAAAAAATATCCCTTATTGCATCTGTTACTGATGTGTATATGGAAATCTATAAGTGATTGGCTTAAAACTCCCTAAACAAAATCTTTCTAAAAGTGTAAACATTTTAAATCACACAAACAGCTGAGAATTAAAAACTTTTGTCTGTTATCCACATTACACTATAAAACTTGAGGCATGTGAAAGTAATATGAAAAATATGAGGTTATGAGGGAGAATGATACATACACAAATGAAAAACTCCAAAGTACTTGATAATAAAGGTGACTCAAGAGTGTGATAGAGGAGCAAAAGTCCAAATAACAAGCAAGATGCAAGTGAGAGGATAGTGGGTGACAGTAATGAGGAGCAATGAAGTAAATGGCAACTGAATAACACAGGGTTGTTAGAGTAGAGAGTAACAGGTGTGAGGAGTGTGAGTGACACAGGTATGAGGGTAATAAATGACACAGGTATGAGGGTAATGAATGACATAGGTATGAGGGTAATGAATGACACAGGTATGAGGATGAATGACACAGGTATGGTGGATAATGAATGACACAGGTATGAAGGTAGTGAGTAAAATAAGTAAGACTGTTGTGAGTGACATGGAAGCGTGAGGGGAGTGAGGAACATTCATGTGTGAGGATAATAACAGAGATGCTACTGATAAAGAAGAGGCAAAGGCATTGAAAATATGGCTCTCTTTTATTCAGGCCTTTTCCCACTTCCTGTAGATACAGGTACAGCACATGCACACACACACACTCTTTTTCCCATTCACTCTCACTACTATAGAAAATGTACTGTCTCACGGATACAGAGGAATACTAATAAAAAATAAATACAATTGAGAGAGGTAAAAATGTAATCAGAACTTATAGGAGTGATGAGATATGAGAGATAATGTAAAGAGACCTAGAGGAGAGGTTGGCCTGTCGCCCAGTCTGGCTCAGTGCTAAAAATAAACATGCTCACATTTCCTCTCTCTCTCTCTCTCTCTCTCTCTCTCTCTCTGTGGTTAGTGTTAAAATGTCAGCATTATTTTCCCCCAGATCCACCAAAGATGGTCACTGTTATTTTTAAGTATCTGGTGATGTATGATTATACTATGGGTTAAAAAAAAGGTAAGAAAAAATTAACATTAGCACTACAAAGTGGCGGCCACTTGTGTACAATACGATTACAAAATGTGTCGGCACTGAAAAAAAAAATATGGTACATTCCAATCTGCTTTTGTTTACATCATTACAGAATATTAATATGACAAGGATCGATTCATCAAATCCAACTCATTTCAACAGCCTAAACAGATGCCAAGTTGCTCGATCCCACCTTAGTTATAACTCGCATACATTCTGAATGCAAAAAGGTTCTTGGTGGAGTACCACAACGCTATATCCTTTGACCCACCTTGTCTGTGATCTACAGTAACAACATAGATGAAAATATATCGAGCCACATTGTCAAACTTGTGGACGACAAGAAGATATTTGGGAGGATAGCAAGTCAAAACGATATCACAATAATGCAGAAAGATTTAAATGAGCTGTTCAAATGCTCAAGACTGATAAATGCTCTTTAACATTACAAAATAAAAGACCCTAGATGTAAGACACAACAACCCTAAGTACAACTATTCTGTTAATAACAATACATGTATAACAATTTCCTGGATACTGTAGAGATGGAGAAAGATCTTGATGTTTTGATAGATCACTAACTGAAAGTGGCACAACAGGTGGGGGCAGCAGTGAGAAAAGCATACCGAGATTTGGGAATTACAGTTTAAAGCATACCTTCAAATACAAAGATAGGAAAATGCTCCTTCAACTGTACAAATATCAAGTACAGGTATGTCCCAGTCTGGATTACTGTATACAGGCATAGAAACCGTACCTCCAAGACGACCTAACATCCCTACATAAGGTGCATCACAGAGCGACTGAGATGATTCTGGGATTATGTCATCTCAATTAGCCAAGTAGACTGAAGGCCTTCATAATCACAACCTTCAAAATCTTGAAAGGGATGTGAAATGTGAAACCAGGCCATTTATTTTTGATATCACACACCACCAGGACAAGAGGATACAACTAAAAACTCGCCAAGTTATCATGCAAAACAAACAAAGAAATACTTCTTCCCATAGAGGGTAACTTGGCTGATTTATTCACTTTCACCAAGAACTCCCATTACTCCATTTCTAACTGAATTGCATTGGCTTCTTTTTAAAGGCAGAACTGAATTTACTATATTCAAATTGTGTTTGATGACCTATAAAGCTGTAAATGAGGCAGAATTCTCTGTACTGATTGGTTTTCTGTGATCTCTGAATCTTGGCTTTAACAGAGCCTGCCAGAGGCAATATTCCATCCAGTGCTGTACAGTATATCTCTTTCTAGTACCTTAGAGCCATGTGAGAATTTTCTTTCCAGCCACATCTTTACCTACACACCACCTCAATTAAACAAACAGTACACTACCTCCCTGAAGCACCGAGTCAGTAGCGAGTTTCGAAGAGCAACTAAAGACTTTCCTATTTCAGATGGCATATGACCCTGTTGGTTATATGGTGAACAAAGATTATTATTCTTGTGACAGTTCTCTTTCATATAACTGTTCCTATTATAGTTTACTATTCACTTATGACCCGCTTGCTGGTCTCTTTTACATTTTTATATGTTGAATGTTTGGGATTTTTTCTTAATTTTTTTAGTACATTTGAAAATTAAAACTCAAACTTTACTACCTTTATTAATTATTAATGTAACTAATATCATAGTTAAATGAATGATAATAATTGTAACCGCCATCTGGGCGGTTAATGGATTTAATTTGACTTGTCACGTTACACTCGAACATTATAATTCGGTCAAACCTGTTAAATACAATTCATTTTAGTATTTCAAATAAATCATACATAAATGTCTAATCCAATATATATTTACATAACAATCATAGCTATGTAATTAGTCTAATCTTAACACTTAGAATGAGTACTTAATTTGCCATATTTTTGTCATCACAATGATAAATGATGCAATGGACACAGTCTACCTGTGTACACACTAAATACAAGTTAAACTTACGTGTTGAAAGTCTTCAGGAGAAACAGGTTAGGTGTTGGTGGTGTAATGGGGATAGCTACAGTGAGGCTGGCGATCAGGTCGGCTATTCAAACTCGCTGTGTCAGGCGTATTATACGCAAACAAGCTCACCTTACACCACCCAACACCTCAACCTACTCTGGGTCTCTCATCTGCCTCCATATCAACACTATATACTGTATATGGGCAGGCACGCCCAATAAACATGACATGAGTTACAGCCTAACATAACGTTTGTTTATGTGTCATCATAATTCAGTACCGCTTGCAGTAACAATAATATTTCATCAATATTGTTTACTAAACAAAATCTGATACTTCCTTTGTTATAGTGGTAGCTAAAGCTACTAAGGAGCCTTGATATGATAAGAGGTCAATCTTTACACACCCCATACTACCAAAGTGATTCTTCATATTTGCAGATACGGTACTGCACAAGCCCACCTCCCTTGAATTAGGAATCCAGAATTATCTCTGAACAGTACTAAGTGTCATGGAACAACAAAGTTGTACAGCACTAAGAGAAAAATATACAGTACCCTTGCTAGAGTTGGCTAAACTTTTGATGTGCTGAGAATACTTCCAGCTGAATATGAGCAAATTGACTGACCATATAAAATGTGAGGTACTGTACTGGTACTTGTTACACAAGAAGTCATCAAGTAAAAATATGACTATGCTGCAGCAAATGAGAGAAAAGAAAGAATGTGATATATATTTTACAGAAATGTACCAGCAGTTTTCTACTCTGTACCAAAATTATAAAAATTTCATGCACAGGATGGCTGATCTTGAGACAAACCATTTTCTAATTAAAAAGAAGATACAGTATAATTATTTTTAATATCTATATCCAATAGAGGAAGGTCAAGAATTCAAAACAAAGTCTTACTCACTTTCACAGTTCTTGAGGTTAATGGCATCACCATAATATCCAGGAGCACAGCGTTCACAGGAATTGCCATATGTATTGTTAAGACAAGCTAAGCATCGGCCAGTAATATCATCACACGAAAAAGAATCTCTTACATCAATGTTGCCATTACATGTACAGGCTTCACACCTGTCACCTGCAAGAAAGAGTCCATCATATTATTGCAGAAAATGAGCCAGAAAGTGTAACTGTGGAAAAACATTAAATTTGCTAAGTCAAATGATGAGGTCAACAGAAGAACCAATCACTGTTGTTAAATGTGTATAAACGTAGAAGTAAAATCAATGATTGATCCCAAAATTCTTTTTCTGGTGGGACCTGAAGTCAAGCAGCTCTTGTAACATTGAGTACCCGGTAACTTAAGAGAGGGTTCTTGAGTTCAGTTGACAAGATAAATCACTTACACTCCCCTCTCCCCAAAGTTGCTGGCCTCAAACAATAGAGATTGACTCCGGTTGCTCCAAAAAATTTAAGGTCTATTTGAAAATGTGATCATCCAACTGCCTTGATACCTGACTCAGCTGTTTATTAATTCAACCGAGATTAAACCAGCCAAAATTATATAGTTAGCATATCACATCTTTGCAAAAACTCTTTTCACATGATTTTACAATGATGCAATGTATAAATTATGGATAAAATATCAATTTACAAAAGAAAATTCGCAATAATGAAATCGATCAAGAACCCCTTTTATACCACATGCCATCCACATGGTCTGTTCCAAGCCCTGTTTATGTAAGGCATTACACAGAGATTACCACTATGTCTAGTAAGTGCAAATGTACTGAAACTTTGTATTTCACTAATTTTATGATTACATACAGTAATAATTAACCCTTAGGCCCCGGGTGACGTTCCAGAAAGTCCGACCAGTGCGCCCCGGGTGATGTTCCAGAAATTCCGCCTATTCCCACAATTTTTTTTTAAGTTGATTTCTTCTTGATTTATCCCGGAGGGGGGTTACTGCCAGCAGCACCCTAACCCGGGGCTTAAGGGTTAATACAACAGAAAAATAGAAAAATGCTTAACTAAGGTAATGAACATAAGACTGTTTAAGGGGGGTAGACCCATGTGGAGGTAGGAATGACCGGTAGTGAAATTTACTTTGCTAAGATTATGCATTCTTTAACAGAGCTCTTTTTGTAAATCCTTTTGTTAATTTAAGATATTAAAAGTATAAAAGAATACAGAGTGACACTTGTAGTTTTCCTTCTAAAACAATATATTCATTGTGGAAAATATTGTGTACATTAATGTTTTGTTTATCTAGCACCTACCTAGAACTTCTGGTTGTCCATGGTAGCCGGCAGCACAGCGCTCACAGCGTTCCCCAATGTAGCCTTCTTGGCATTCACATTTAATTGAGAATCCATCATCTAGGAAATCACAGCTTTCTGCAAAACTGTATAAGAAATAAAATCAATAAATCATTCTATTACTTTAGATGAAATATAAACTAACTTGCAAAGTGTATGTACAAGTATTACCTCATTGCAAGCATAAGATAGTTTGGTCAGTGTTGTCACATAGACAAAAAGAGGAAAATAAGGAAGTATGGCCAGAGAAAGGTAAATATAAAATATATATACTGTACTGTATACAGTATATAAACAAATAAAAATAAATAAATATATCAGTAACTACTGTATATAGTAAAATTATAATATTCGGTCATAACAGTGTGCAACTCTGTAGTCTCTATTAAACTCTCCACCCACCTGCACCACAGCATGCATCTATGATATGTCTGTCCCTCCTCATATTCAAAGCAGACTGATAATCACATAAATTTACTTTGACTCACTTGTTGGTAATTGATGGCATAGGACAGGCACAGATAAGACAGTCATATGGAGTGCCCTGTGTAGCTTTTCCGTGGTATCCTGGTGCACACATTTCACAATTGTCACCAACCGTATTGTGTAAGCAGTTCTAACAGTGAAAAAAATACTCCAAATTGTATCAATCTAAGTAAAAATACAATTCAAAATAAATAACAGTACTGTACTGTATTTATGTTCATTCATTAATAAGAAATTTTAGTCAGTTAAGAATGAAGAGTTGTTTATACAGTACAGTACTCAATACATAAAGCTACAGTAAAAGTAATTCACAGGATTAAAAATATCAAGTAAAACAATGTACGTAATAGGACTGCGGAAATACAAATTAACATAAGAGTTAATTTCATACAACAATTTTGGTTTTCTAAAGATCCTATTCTCCCATAAACACAATACAAGTGTAATCAAAATGTATTAATTTTCTACAAATATAACAACTTACACTAAAACTTATTCACTTTCATTAAAAAAGGTATAAAACCCTTGAATACTGTACATTAATGACAAGGAACTTACCAGGCATTTGCCAGTTTCTTTATCACAGGTACCAGCATGACCATTACACTGGCAAGGCACACAGTATCCACCATAAGGCCCACGCTGAGCACGATAATATCCTCGTGCACAATCCTCACATGACAATCCTATAAATAAAAATTGAAATATAATTAAAGATTTTACCCACTTTTATAAGATGATTTATAAACTAAACTTAACTTATATCGTTTTACATACTATATTTAATGGGCACTGGTATTGTAAGGTGTTGTTTTTTACCACTATAAAATATTAAGTACTTAAGACATCAACGACACACCATCACCACATCAAAAGTTCCAGAATTTTTCTAAATATTGTAAATAATTGCCCAGAATCCAACCGTAATGAATTTATTCATGAGAATTTTTAGAAGCGGAAATCATACCTTGCTCAATTGCTCTGGATCAATTGCAAAACAGTTTCAAGCATGTGTGCCGGTTACATATACAATATTCTTGCGATGCCAACTCTGGTATAATGTGCAACTTAATACAATAAACTCCTTTTAAAAGACCTGACTGAGTGGGAATAAACTCCCTAGGTACAATTTTTGGGTAGTTACTAGTGGTTGTGATGGAGTTTACTTCAGGAGCCCACAATCTCTTATCAATAAAAACATGTCTATTGATCTTTAAAATACTGCAAAGCAACTTCATGACACAACATCTAATCCCAGTTTCTGGTTTTGGGATGAGAGTGCTTAAGGAAGGCACATTTGTGCAGAGTTGGCATGTCAAATATTACCAGCAGAAATCGATGTAAATCGTTCCTTTACAACTGACAATTAGAAAAGTGTGTTAACATGGGATGCTCCTGCTGAAGAGCAATTTTTATAAAAGGGGGGGAAACTCTTACAAAAATATCAGGAATTCAGTGCTCTGCAGTTTTTCTTGTGGTAATAAATATTCATTTGGAATTCCATCATATTTACTGTACTGTACATGGATTCAAACTCATGCTTTGTTCAAGGTTAGGAATTTTGACCTTCAGCAATGGCAAAAATTTTAATTTTGTTGTTCACCACTTTTTATGGTGGTTTACATATTCATGTGAAAATTTATGATTTTTTCTACCATAACAAACATTTTTCTCTAAACAAGGTTTTGGTCTTGACCTTTGACCTGGACATTTGATTTTGATGTTCAGCACTTCCATAAAAATTTTCAAAACCACAATTCCCAAGCAATATGCACATGATGTTATTTTCTGCCAAGTAAGAAACATATCCAGTTGAATAAGTTAGCATATGTTAAAAAAAAAGTTTTAATCTCGGACCTTTTCTCACAACCTTAAACTATAAAAATTAGATTATCCTATGCATTATTTGTAGATGTATTTCTATTATATTTCAACGTAAAACAAAATTTAATGCAGAAAAAACAATCTTATTTACAGTTATCAAGAAGACTAAATGAACTATCTTGAAAAAATAAAAATAAGCCAAAAAAGGTAATCTTCTCATACCTTCATAATTAATTGGACACTGGCAGCGTTCCACAGACAATGCTGGTTGTGATTCACGTCCAAGCCACTCAGCAGTTGGGACATCAATGCTCGTATTAAATAACCTGTGAGGGCAATTGTTTATTATACAGTAAGTACTGTACACATACGATTATTCAGTCAGTTTTGAAACATTACACACTTTTTTACACCTAAAATCATAGGCATACCGAAGGGGGAACGACGTGGGAAATCACCCCTCCCCTCTTGAGCCAATAAATTATTCCAATTAAACCAATTTTAACAATAAGAAAAGAAATATATTGATAATTAAATAAATAAAAACAATAGCATAACTAATTGACCAGTAAGCTCATCTTGAACATATACAGAAAAATATTAATTATCTTATACAGTGGGGTATGCTATAACGAATGGATTCTACTACGAATATTCCTATAACGAATGGTTTTACCTATAAAATTGAGAATGCTATAACGAACGAAACTCCTACAACGATTTTTTTTTTTTTTACTAATTTATTGTTTTTTTATTAATGTATTAATGATATTCTTTATTTCACGAGTTTAGATGCATATTTATGCACTTTTTTTAAATTTTTACAATTTTATATTATATTCTTCAGTGTTAAGTGGTTGTATTTGGGGGCCTGGAAAGGATTAATCCTATAACGAACAAATGCTATAACGAACAAGGTTCTAGAACCAATTCAACTATACCTCGGTATGTTTAGTTCAAAGTTTGACCCCCTCCTCCGTGGCAAATTTCTGGGTATGCCACTGTCTAAAATTACAAATTACAATTCATTCTTGAGATTTTTGGCTACCAGTGCAAAACTTGATTACAAGTATTGGACCCAGTTGCATTGCCTCTTTGTATTCCCATTCATGGGTGCCTTTCAATGTTGGTTAACTGGAAAGAGATGATAATGGTTTTCTTCATGATGATTGAACTGAAAGTTCAGGCCATAACAATGCATCTTAACAGTCACTGACAAGAGAGACCCTCTGCACACCCTTTGCATTCTAAGAAAATAGGGTCAGTCCAATGACCAGACTGCCAAGTCATTCAAAATAAAAGCCTGAGTTACCCCCTAAGCCATCTTTCAAAAGAAGGTTAAAAAAATCATTCTTTGATTCAAGGGTGCTCTTTCTCTCTATTTTGTCGCAGATCCTTTGCTAAACATAACCGAAAAATGTTTCTCAAGTGGAAAACTGTAGTCACCAACCCTCAGACATGAGGATGGCACTTTGACTGTCTGAAACCTGAGAGAAACTCAAACCCTAACACCAGCCAAGCAAAGCAACACCCATATAACAACTTGCTCAACATTCTCCTATACATGGCAAAATAAATTAACAAAAGAACACTACAACATCCTACCCCCAATCCCTCTCCACACATTCAATATTACAAAAATGTCATTTAAATTAATAGACAATAACTAAATTCCAGCACCATATACCCAACCATCAGAATTTACCTTCTACAAGGAAATAATAAATTGCAATTGCTGTAGATGCCATCTCTCCCTTAACAGGTTAAGACATAGCCCAGCTCCTCCAAATAATACATGCCACCCAATAATTTCCTACCTACCTAAAACACAATGCAAAAAATTTTTAACACAACCTTTAAAAGAGCAAACAATGGAAGTCGCTTGCTTCCTAAGGCCAAGGGATTCACAAGGAATTGAACTGGGGCAACATAATAACAACAGTTTTTCAACAATAATGAAGTACTGTAGATGATTCTTACCTTGCTTCAATAGCGTTGCTCCAGTAACTTGCTCTAATAAAAATAGCATCAAGTTCGTAGAGAAGCATCATAAACTGTTCTCGCTGCACTGGGAACCCTATAATCCCCCCCAAGAAAACAAATCAGACATTGTTTTTATCAAGATCAGTCTACATTTGAATAAAAATCACTCAACCCCAATGCAGGGGTGATTAATGTATTAAGAATACAGACAAATAACAAAAATAATCTTAAAAATCTAAATCAACAGAAAGTGCTAAATAAAATATATGAAGCACATTCTTTAAAAGGCAACCTGTTTTGTGAAATCAGTGGTAAAACACAAACTAATGCTTCATTATAAATTTAGTCAATAAATCATTTAATTGAATAAAAGATAATTATTTACTTATCTGCATTCTAACTTACACAGTACTTCAAAGCAAGATCAGCTAAATAATTAACCTTTCTCCTTTATGGATACAAAATGTTATATGCAAGAGATAATGAAAGAACAAATGGTGAAGGAGTAATTGTAAACAGGGAACAAGACCCCACTCTAAAAGGGAAATAAGAATAGACAGCCATAAAATGTTCTCTCAGTTACAGTACTCCAATGTTACTTTTTTGGCTGATTTTGAGCAGTGTATAAATCCCTCTTTGGTACTCCTGCTCCTCTACAGTAATGAAACATTATGATATGTTGAAAAGTTACTGTATGATAAGTTACCTGCAACACTGCTTCACAAGGCACAGTGGTACCAAGAGAACATTACATCACTCACAGCTGATGTCCATCTATTTTTATGTGAATCATTCATTCCATATCTTTGTTTTTTAGGGACAGAAACTACTTATTTGGAATGTAAAAGTAACAGCTTGTTTATGAGCATAATAAAGTAACAGCTTGTTTATGAGCATAATAAGTATTGTCATGGGAACAAGATATCCTGATGGTCATAATTAACAAATAATTCCCCCAGGAACTTTACAGACCCAAGCATTTGGGGTAACTGATGTTGGTCAGTATCCATAATAATGCTTGTTTTTTCTTCATATTTATGCATGGTCTTTGTGTACTGTACCTGATTATTCTTTTCTTGAATTTCATATATTTTCCATTGTTATTTTCATGTGGTCTTGTAATGTGCCGGTAATCTTACTTTTTATACATGCATTGAGTTAATACTATTGGCAACACATAACTTTTACAGAAATTTCATTAGATAAGTGTATGGGAATTACAGTACTGTATTTATATTGTTTGCTTTATAAACATTAATTTAAATTTCACCTGACATAGTTCTGAAGTTGTGCTCCGTTAATCGTATCTCAGCAGATAAGACTTGTGAAGAAAATGGTAGATCTGGTGAGAAGTACTGGACAAGGATATCACCTCCCCTCAAGATAACATCTGGACCACTTATTTTAGAGCCTGTAAATTGTAAATTACTTGTTAGCAATATATTTATAGAAATAACAGTAAGTTGTGAGAAACTTCAACTCTTTTTCCCACTCAAAAGTCAAGACAGGACAAACAGTACAGTACAGGTATGTGTTTGCATCACTGATGTTAATTGGACACCCGACCAAAAGAAGCTACAGATTTTGTAGTTCGACACACACACCACATGATGAACTGAACGAGCCATCAAACTACACATACAGCTAAACAGACAGAGGCAAATATACAAATAGAGCAAAAATAGTCAAACAAACATATACATAGACAATCAAACACTTACAAGTACAGTGGTCCCTCGGTTAACGAACACAATTCGTTCTAGAAGGTCGTTCGTTAACCGAAAATTTTGTTAACCAAAACCATTGTTTCAATGGGATTTTGGGTAATTGGTTCCAGCTCAGCAAAAATTACATACAAACTAAAAATAAATGCAGTAAAGTACACTTAGTTTGAGGTGTGTATGTAGAAGGCTCCTGGCTGATGATGATGATGGGAATTAGAAGTGGGGGTGGAGGAGAAGGGAGAAGGGAAGGCTTCATGCCGCCATTTCACCCATAAAATTTTGAGTTCACTAGGTGTAATTAAAGATTATTTTCTTTAAATTAACACTGCACTGCATAATATATTGTCAATATGTAAAATAAATTTCAGAATGACCAATAATTATACTGAAAAAACGTAAAAATAGTTTATGTTCAAGAGAGTCTCAAGCAAGATGCTTCCTCCACTGAGCAGACACAAACTGACGCCATTCTGGGTGAGTCAAGTGGCTATTTGGTGTGCTAAAAACTAGTTCCCTGTACTTCAATTATGTTAAATACTGTAATTGTTAAAATGACTAAAAATTTTAATATAAGACTTGGAAAATTATTGAATAGTACAACCTTCTTGATATTTACTCAAATGGTAACGAAATTAAGCCCTAAAACCGATTACTGTATTGGCAGACTAATACTACAGTTGGTGAGCAGGCGAAAGCAGGCGAAACCATGTTGGGAAAAATTCGTAAGGAATTCGTTAACCGAATTTTTTTCGTTAACCGAATTGAATATTCATATAGGAGGTAATTCGTTAATGGAAATTTCGTTACCCGAGGGATCACTGAATACACACAGAGAGACATGTGCACACAACTGAGAGGACAGAGCAGGACTCTTCACAAATATCAAACTCTACATTTGTTTATTTTCAATCACAACAAACTGTTGTATTCTCAAAATTTTTCATTCAACTTCCTTCCAAAATATCAATTTACTTTCCAGTTTCTCAAGTAATCTCTTATATCTATGATCCTATAAGCTTCATTATTTAGACTTCCATTTTTCACTATTTACTGAGGCCTTTAACTTTTCATGAATAAGACTCCAAAAAGAACATAACATACAGATATTACTCACATGTTGAAAACTTATTACTGTACCTTCATCTCCCCATACAATCACAATTGAGTATCTGAGATATCCTCCGTAAGATGAAACATGGTTGCCAAGGTAAGCAGCTGGAGCAGTGAAGAAGATTTGGCCTTCTGGGTAGTGTTTGTCCACACCCTCCATATCCTGCTGTATGAGGTCCTTATAGTATGTTGGTTGCTGATCCAGTGAGGAAAAGCTGAGGGCAGTCAGAGATTGGGAGGAGAGTCCAGGCGAAGAAACCAACTGCTCCACAACTATCACACTCCATGCAGACATGTCATCAATCTATCAAAGGAAATAATATATCATAATCACAACACTTATTAGTGAACATAAAAGTATTCTACTGTATAACACAGTAACATAGAAATTCAATACGGGTGCTCCTCTACTTACGAACGAGTTACGTTCCTGAGGCTTATTTGCAAGTCCAATTGTTTGTAAGTCCATCTTTACTCTTGTAGATACCAAACATATTGTACAAAATGAAAAGATTACGGATATTTAGTATAGCTATACCCTTTAATACAGCCTTAAAACCAGGCTCACTCTTCTCCTCTTAGGTAATGTTTGTTCTATCTGGAATTTTCTCCAAAATAATCCAGTCTCATCCACATTAAGCACCTGTTCTGGCAGGTAACCCCCCCTCAGTGATGATGTTTGTATCTCTGAAAGTTGTAGGTTGAATGTTCTTAGGTATATGAGCACCTGTATAAGTTTTATGATACAGTAATATCTTCGTTAGCCGTAATCCCTCAAATCCGGAACTCTCCGATAGCCAGAATTGAAATTTTATGGGAAAATCATTGCCAAAGCCAGAATTTACCGGGAAATTCCAGCTTTTGGAACCAATTTCCGAGGGGCACATTTTCTGGAAAATTCCAAGAAAAATTTCCCAGTAGCCAGAAAATTCTGGGGATGGTGAATTTTTTTCCGGGTTTAAGAGATCAAAATCAGGCACATTTACCAGAAATTCAAAGAAAAGTTTTCCAGTCCCCAGAAAATACCAGGGATGGGGGATATTTTTCTGAATTCAAAAGATGATGTAATGAGCAATTTCTGGAACTTATGAGAAAATTTTCTGGAAAAGTATAAGGATGAAGGATTTTTTTCAGGCTTTGAGAGATGAAATAATGCATCATTCTGGAACTGACGAGAAAATTTTTTCGTTACCTGAAAAATTTTGGGGATGAGGGTTTTTTTCCAGCTCTGCACCAATTGTTCTGGCTAACGGAGATATCACTAGTATTTGTGTACGTACTTCACACATTTTGTTGCTCTACAAATATTTAGATATAATTTAAAATACACTGTAGTTATTTAATTAAACATATGTCTTAGAAAATGACAACACACCTTAATATACAATTGAAGATAAAGCCAAAATAATAACCCTGAACACCGCTATAACAAATATCTTATACACCTCACTATCTCCTCTGGAACATTAACTACACTGAGGTCCTGATATGATCATGCAACTTATTCCTATTAAAAATAATAACCTAAGTTGAGAAAATAAGTTCAAACCTCTGTGCCATGCTGCTGTTCCACGCTCAAACCATTCTCTGGGCAACACGACACAGTTCAGTCAGGCTTTCACCCAGGTGACTCCAAGATACTGTGTGTGTGTGTGTGTGTGTGTGTGTCTGTGTGTGTGTGTCTGTCTGTGTGTGTCTGTCTGTGTGTGTCTGTCTGTGTGTGTGTGTGTGTGTGTGTGTGTGTGTGTGTGCTGTGGTGTCATATGCACTCTCATGTTCTGAAATGTACTTATTTTATAAATTTATATAATAAATTATTTTCTTTACTTCTAAACCACATTAGAGTAATACAATGATTTTTCCACAACTTTTATAGTTTCATTACATGTAACAATGGCAACATGTCATCTCACAGGCCACCTCATCCCCCTTCCAGTGAGTCAAGCTATTGCTAAACAGAATTTTGACCAAACATTAAGTGAGAAAGGGTGTAAAAAAATTTATATCGCTAAACTGAATTACAGTAACGCTAAACGAGGGATGCCTGCACAGTACAATCTTCGATGCCAAGCTTTTCTGACACTCACATTTCCTACTTTTTCCTGACTGTCTGCTCCTCTCACTCCATGTGTGACCATCATCCCATCCTTCCATCTCCTTCTCACTGGAACAGTCTTATACTGTACAAACAGTAACTGACTCACCTTTCAGTTGTATTTTATATCAATATTCACCGAGCTTACAACCCTTACCTTCAACTCTCTTACTACTCTATTCATGAAAATACAAAATCATTATGTTAACATCACACATCTATGCCTAAATCTTACCTTTACTGGAAAGCATCTTCCCTCTTCCTCCAGAAACTCTGATTCAGATTGGTTTCATTTGTCTGGCTTCACAAGCACTTAATTTGCATGTGTTTGGTTCACTTTTTAACATCCAAAATCTCTTTATAACAGGATAAGGTTAACATGTACAGGGTAGTACATTACCATCGACTCCCTCTCTCCCTACCTCACTTCTTCCAATCTCATAGGGAATGCCAAATTGACAGCAAACTCACCCAGTAAGCATATTAATAATGTATCATGAAATCATGGCTATTAAATACTGTATTATGCATACAGGTACTTTACAATGGAAAGGATAGAGTTTTGGGGGGAGACAAATTTGCATGGTTCGAGTCACTCTCTGTACTGCACACCACTGCAGGACATTTGCATATATATATAATTTATAAAATAAGTTAACTAAACAATTTGCATACCAAATATACATACCAACATTCCCTCCCAGTATACATCAGCAGATGAACAGTACTCAGACTTGCCAAAACAGAAGCACTTTGTACAGCCATCAGGGTTTGTTTCTTCTAAATTGTAGGAGCCTGGTCGACACATATCACAGGAACGACCTTCAACATTAAGTTTGCAATAGCAGCTCGCATCATCCTAAAAAATAAGCGGAAAAAGTGTTCAGCATATTGTGGAAAGAATCTTTAAGAATTAAAATACTGTAGAGGCAAATGTAAAATACAAAAAAAAACATTTGAATACAAATTCAATTTCAATATGGTTTGAGAAATAAAATACTTTTGATAAAAAAATGGAGATGGTTTTCAACTTACCATCATGTCATAGGCATATTCTCATTACTTCACAACCTAACCATGAAATTTCATAAGCTTCACATCACTCTTATTACTATTAAACAATTCCAGACATACCCTAAAATACCAAAGTTAACCAAGATAAGGGTACCAAGATTATACTGTACCAATATTTTTTACCTTATAAACTACTTATATGGTACTGTACCAACTAATAAAGACTCACACAGGACTCCTGGAACCTTCTCAATTACAGAATTTTTTTATTTATTTATGATGACAGCAAACAGAGAAGTGTCCTAATATATCACGTGAGGGAATACTTTACAGACCGAGTTAATCTTATAAAACAAAATATGGAGTTGAATGTGTACAGTAATGCACGATTCAAAAGGTTTTATCTTAAAAGTCCAATTGTAGACCAAAACTACGGTATGCAAATGGTTCGGATCAGTGTTTTACTCAACTTGTGATGGGGCTGTTAATATAGGATGTTAACTTTATCACTGTTTGGTGTTTTATGTTGAGACTAATTACTAAAAAGATGTCAAATTTAAGAGAAAGTTATCAGAGTCTATATACAGTACTGTAGTTACTTAAACCACTGAGCCATGATATATAACTCACCTGACTACATATATCCTCCTCAGTTCCCCTCAAATCACAGTCACACAGCTGGCAGAATGGGAAAGACCAGAAGCCAGCTGCACATCGCTCACATCTAAAATGAGAATTGAATGAAAAAAAAATACACACAACAAAAAATTTAATATAAGCTGATTTTGGTTAATGTTTATGCAATGCACAAGATTTGCCTATAAAGACTGCACTGCACACTCTACCCCTCAATCAATCATAACAGCCACAGATTTCAACTCACCCTAAATCTAATCTGATGCAGCCCTGCACCTAACATCATCTCACCCACCCTAACACAACACAGACAACACATCAATGAAACCTTTATAAAATATTCTGAGACTTATGTTAGTCATCAGCTCCCGAGAGGCTGCCAAGTTCACATGGAATTGACACAGGACACAGCAATAACAATAGGATGTGTTTAAAACAGATTGCAAATCTTTTCCCTTCACTTATGAGTAACCTTCACTATGGGATGCCACTTTTAATATTTTATTTGGCCTATGCCAGATAATTTTATTCCGCAGAGGGGGGACCCCATACACAGGTGGTTAAAGATATAAGAGGTTGTCATTGCTACTACAGTAGTACCCCGATTTACGCGGTCAATTGAACCCACAGGGTACAAGATGAAAACCGCGTAAAGTGAACAACAGAACATATGGGATTAATTCCAATAGAGACTGGCCCGACCCCCAAACTCCACTTTTTCCGACACAATACCTATGTTGTAGTAAAAATAACATCTAAATTTTATGATGGTATGCTCACACAATTAATATTTAAGAGAAATACAGTCGCCAGGTTAATGTCCATTCAAATAATGGACTCAAATCCCCCCCCTCCCTCTTCCCAGCTCACTAGCTCTCCAAGAAATGTTGGGTGAAAACACTAGATTTTAACGTTTAGTAATAAATAATACCTCAGACTAAAGATAGGATAATATAATTGAATTTCTGGATTCCTTGCAGGTCAGGGAATATTTTGAATGTAAACTTCATATATTTTGCACAAAAGATAAAATATTTGCTTTGTGTAAACCAAATTATTACATTAGATCTAAAATTTGTATGTCTAATGCAAATCCATGATGTTTATATTCAAAATGATCATCATATTGTAAGAATTCCAGCAATGTAAATTATATTCTGGCCGGGTAATTTGTATGAATTTTATGAGCTAAAAAAAAAAAAAAAATTATACTTCACCGCGTATATGAGTAGATGCACCGCGGAAAGTGAAAGTCTGGTTCTGGCAAGGTACCGCGTAAATGAGAAATCACGGAAAGTGAAACCGTGTAAAGCGGGGTAATACTGTACTGTATATCCAAATAGAGGTAAATCTCCTTGAATACACAAAAAAAAAATCATTGTTGATCCAGGCAATTATTTCTCTTTACACTTCCTACCATTCCTCCATCAATCCAACAAACTCAATTCATTGTTGGAAATATTTGATTTGCTCTCTAATATTTACGTTGCAACAAAGTGTCTGGCCCATTTTGTATTCTTTTAGAATTATATTTTCAGAAACATATACGGTACTGTTTTCTCACACATTTATCAAAATACATCTTTACCACCACATTCTTTCATTAACTTCTGGGAACCTGCTCATCTTTCCCACCTTAAACTTTAGGTTTTTTTGTTATCCAACACTGCCATGTTTTAAGCCAACTGAATCAGATTATTTTTAGTTGCTGATAATGTCATCAATTTGGGCTGCTTATGAATGACATTTCAAAGATTTAAATGTCTTCAAAATATAAAATTACTGAACACTTAAATTAGTTATAGTAATGCAAAATGAAACTTTTTCTTCATAACCTAATGATTTATAAGACAGGAGTATTTCAGACAAACTCCTGTGAAAAATAAGTAGGTTACGGTTGTACAGCTATGTACAGATCAAGGTTATTTTATTAATGTTTATGGCTTCCTGTGAATTAATAATGAGTATTATCTATATTTGAAAATAATTTTTTTAAATTATTTAAGAAACACCAAAAACATACAGTACATACAAGGTATATGTATATTCTCAAGTTAAATTCTGTTTTTATATCAAAGGTAAGAAAGTAAGGGCTAATTCTAATTCTGAAGAGATGTAAATAACAGCTGAATTATTTACCTTCGTCCAACAACTGAGTTTTTGCAACTACACTGTCCTGTTTGTAGGTCACATTGAAGGTTACCAGATTGAACACCAAGGGCAGAGCACTGGCATTCCTCACACCCAATAATTGGATCAAAACCATAAGTGTATGGTGCACAACGCTGACACCGGTTGCCTTCCACACGGGGTGGACAAATGCATTCCCCTAGGAGGATATGCAATAATTAGTACAGTATGTTAGAGGCTGACCTCTAGTGACAAGCAGTAGAAGAATTATTTTAAGCCACTAATAAAACTACATGCTTATAATGCTTTCAGAACATTCAATATACAAACAAGTTTCCAATAGCAACATTGCAGAAAATACTACTAAAATAGTTTTGTACAGTACAGTACAGTACTTGCTAAAATGAAGTCACATTTTCATTAGGTCCAAATATGTAAGGAATACAAACAATAAACTAGAGAAGTCCACAAACCAGTAACAGGATCACACAGGGCTGTGGATGGGCAATTGCATGGTTCACAGTCAGGAAAACCAAAATACCCAGTTTTGCAACGATTGCATCTGCGACCAATAACATTTCGACGACATGGACATTGTCCACCAAAGCTCTCACACTCAAAGCTTTCAGATCCATAAAAGTCACACTGGCATGGTAAGGCCCCACTATTGTATTCCATTGTCAGTTCATATGCTGCAGCCTTACAGAAATCTGAAAAAGTTTATTATCTATACAATAAAATAATCATAATTTTTATGTATGGATATCAAAACACCTGAATTTAAAACATGTCTTCTCTTGAGTATTGTAATTACCTTTACAAGAACTACATGTTAGCAACCTAAAAATTACATACAAAGAGTTTTAAAAATAATCAGAACACAAAATTAATGTTGACCCCTTCACTCCAAGGATGCCACTTTTAACATTTTACCTGTATTTGGCTTATGTCAGAGGACTTTATTCAGCTCAAAGGGAACCCATACACTAAGGGGTTAAACTCATAAGCCAAATGCAGTGCCTTTTAGAAGCATTTAGAACTTCATGAGTATAATGTATTACAAAAATGTAACAATAATACCAGCTATAACAGTATGGTTTGTGATCATTATTAACAATCAAAACTTAAAATAGCATACAGTGGGGAGGGGGGGTGTTACTGGTTAATAAGTTACTGTATTATGATATATCAAAATTTACATAAACTACATGTAAAAAATCATTCACCCACTATGCACCTTGAAAAATCTATTAAATAAACAATATATAGTATTTGCTGGTATATAAGGCAAACTGTTTCCCTAAAAAAAGCCCTCTAAAATCATCCAGCATCTTACTGGCAATTGCCATATTGTGAACTGTACTGTGCAGGTACTGTATTATATTCACAAAAATATTTTTTTCTTTTAGGCCGCATTGATGTATGTTTCCATTATAAATAAAGTAAATACTAAAGTACTGTACAGTATATTCATAAAAGTACTGTACTGTTTTTTTTATTTCCTTCTAAAATCAAGTTGCACTTTATACACCAGAAAATACGGCAAAAATTAATTTATCCAAATAAGATTCTCTCTTCACAGTAGTAGTCTGTTGTGCAGTATGTAGCACCAACAAATGATACTTCTTTACAGTATCCTGAATTAACATAAATGAATTGAATTAAAAATTCTAATCAATTAATCCTCTTAAGAGTGAAACATTTATACTGTCTGTGAATTCCAAATACTGTACAGTACAATTTACTTTTTGTGAGAACTAGGCCCGAGTGTTCTAACACAACATATATCCTTAAAAACTGGTTATATTCACCCTTGGAAATTAATGGTAAAATCTTTGGCTGAAACAGTATTCTTACTTAAAGAATTAAAATTTTCAATATTACAAACCTGTAGCATTATCTCCAATATTGAAGTTGTTCTGTCCACAAATGTTAATGAAATCTGCTGTCATATCAATTGGCATTTCATGCATAATTTTTTCATTAAATTGCTGAGCTGGAACCACCAAGACTTTGTCTACCCAGATTGATTTATGATTTGGCTCCTGAAAAACACAAAATGTAAAAAATATGTATAAATCTATTTATAGTCATGAAGTTGCCACATGGGCAAATGAGGAAGCACTGGAGCAAACCCAGTTCATAGGTACATTAATTTTTTATTTATTTAACTCTGAAATCATTCAGTTATTAATTTTCCTCTGAACACATCACTCAGCCTCTCAATATACTTAATATCTTATGAAATAAAATCAACGTGTGTCAGTACTGAGAAGGAACAACAAACCCCTCAACACCGCCCTTCTAAATTAGCCATTTAGAAACACCAGAATTAATATGGTGGACCAACAATGAAATCCCTTGTCTGGTGGGGCCTGAGGCCATGTGGCTCTCATAATACAGGGCAACTTTCTAGGGGATCCTGGAGTCATTAGAGAGGGCCCACCCTAATGTCAACTTGGATTAATCTATTCATACAATATGGATAAGTCAATTATGGTGATCCTTGAAAAGCCAAAGTCTCAATGAAACCATGACTGGCCATTCAACACACATCATGTCAAGGACATATTACCACTCCACTTGAATCTGAATAAAATTGACCAAAGCTGAGTGAACCTAGGCCAACACAATTGCACAAGGAAGGCTGGAAATGTCCTACAGTCTCTGCTACAGAAAGTATTTTTAGAATCAATTCTATATTTCTGGCTACCACCCATAAGCCAGGAAGCTCTCATACTACTGTACTGTAGAAGACAAGTTAAACAAAAATGAGATGGAAATGCTACACCAGTTCTTTTATTAGACATTTAAACACCAACTATGTGATTTGCCTTACTGTAAACGCCCGCTGGGTGTCCCAAACTCTTTTACAAAACGAGTCTGGTGTTATCTGGACTCTTGCAGATACAATTTCAACTGGAATTACACCCACCCTCTCATGAAGATTCAAGCAACCATGGTTTTGAGCTAACTACACAGTTCTAAGAATATTTGTTATTACAGTACATTCATTAAATACTGCAAGAAGTAATTAATACAATTCAATGGTTGAGGGCAGCAAAGTTAATAACGTATAGAATAAACTTATGTAAATATGATCACTTTATAATCCAAATGTTAATGTCAAAGAATTCATCATTTAAAGAGTTTGAAACATTCCATAGATCACATATAAAATGAGAAACTTACCTTAAGTGAGAGAACAAAGTTTTCCAAAATATCAAACACGTAAGATCCGTCTGGTTGTCTAATAACAGAGCGACAGCCAGAAGTGCTAGGGCAGTGATGGACTGCCAGTGAACCTTCATAAAACTGACCATTCTGTATCAGCACGTCCACATCAAATTCTGTAAAGGAAAAATTATTGGTAACTACAGACTTCAAAAAAAAAGGAAAAAAGGAAATTCTGGGAAAACTTTACTCATTAATGTAACTTGTTCATGCAATGAATCGAAACAAAAGCAAAGCAAAGAATCCATATCAAACATTCCTTTACTGAAACAATATTGGTAATTGCATTTTTTTTATAAAAAAAATTCATGAAATAGCTATTTCTGGCAAGGCCCACAGGCAGACAGTGCATTGTAACACAAGCTGGCAACTAGGATGTACTATATACTTGGACAACTTCCAATTAATCAGACTAGGAGTGATAACTAAGAGCATACCTAATCTTCTCACCTCCCAATCACACCACCAGCGTCACTGGGGGAGATAGGGGTATTTGGTGCAATGGATATCCTTGAAAGACAGGAGGCTTTGTTAATAAGCGAGTCTTACTAATTAGTACACGTCACGACAAAAGCTGTAGCTCTGGCATCTTGTTTTGGTCACATCTATTTCTTATTTAGTTCCTAACTGAATAATCCACAAAGTCCAGGTAGGAGGAAGGGCGTCCCAGCCATCTAGTTACAAGCTCTGCCAGAAAAATCAATTGCAAGATCAGTCTAACTTTTCTGGTTAATGCTCTCCACGAGGTGACTTCTCATAACCCAAACCTATGCTATTCAAAGGTCCAGGATTAATCTGGGTTATGAGTACAGTATATAATAAATACTTCTTAACTCTTTCTTACTGTACACTCACTTAGCATCATCCTTGAGCCTCCAGTCAAATGTCATTGGAACTTATAACTCCAATCAATTGGACCACAAAGACCCATTGTAGAGGGGTCAAGTTAAGTTACCTCTGATGCATGAACCATAAACATGTCTTGAGGGTCAGGAAGATAGAAAGTCTACAAAGAGGACAACAAGGTAAGCATAGAGTTTTTATCCTACTTAGGAAAAATTTTGATCATTAAGCTCAAACTACAAGTACAGTATATCTATCTCAGTCTTCCGTAATGTGCACGGCATACCACTGTAAACCTAACCACCAAATATTCTGACTACTGTATGAGAAAACTTAGACCCCTATTTATTCACAAAGAAACCTACTTAGCCTAGGATGCTCAGACCTATCATAATAGCCCACCTCACTGCTTCACAGGTAAACTAAAATTAACTAGTTGAAAAAAATAATAAAAATAACACTGATAAATCTTACCCAAAATTATTCCTCATATTTTGTGAACATTCCCAGAGCTATTTTCAATTCGAAAGGAAGAACCCTGAACTGGGAAGACTGACTACTGAAAAAAGAATTAAAATTTTCTAATGCTCGTATGAAGAGAAATGTCTTGATAAGCATCCCTCATTCAATAAGGATAAACCACATTCCCACAAAGGTTCATCCTTGCCTGGGGAAACTGCAGTCATCCAGAACATTTTATTAAGAATAAAGTCATTCAACCATTAATGATCCAGAATCACATGATGATCCTCTTGATGTTTAGGGGCATAAATATTTCTAGAAATTAAATCTCTATATTCAGTCTTTCAAAATCAAAATTTCACATGGGAAGGTGGGAAGTACATTCAGGGTTAAAATTTCATTCTGGGAAAATTATTTTAGGGATATCAAAGGACAGAGCACACCCCAACAGCCAGCCTGTATCAAATGAAGCCAGAAAGCAGATAGTAAAAGCTAGATGGGCAAAATTCAAATACTGTAATTAAGTTTATTCATGCAATAATACAAACAGGCACAACAAAGCTTGCAGTAAACACGGCAGCAACTGCTTCAAGTTAACATACCTGTTTTATTCCATATCTTAAACAAAGACAATAAAGCAAAGAAAGCACAAGCAAAAGCTAACCTTTCTCGCTTGTATAAACAAACTGCACATACAGCACATCATCTGCAGAAGTCATACACAAACACATAATTAATATATTTTCAGCATTCACATTGTGCAATTTATTTTTCATGTATTTTAGTAACAAATGACAAACAAGTATGGTGCAACAAGTAACTAGAGTCTTAGACATATTAATTAAAAGAAATAAAAACAAAGATAAACATTCAGAAATAATAACTAACCAAGGTTTCCTAGATGCCCAGGCAGATAAATCATCTAGGTACTGTATCTGAAAAAGCATCCCACCCCAATATTGGAACTTACTTACCAAGCCCTCATCTCCACAGCAGCAGCAAAGAACAAAATGCATAATAAAGTGGGCACTCAAATACCCACCTAAGAGTCCTTGTTCCTAAAATGAGGGCCCAAAGATTCTGGGACATGATAGACTAAGGATTAATATTCTTCAAAACAGGCAAGGCAAACAAAAAGCAGCATAATAAAGTACCACAGTCATCATATTAAGACCATTTCCTAACTACCATGTCCCAAGAAGCAATGCCCTACTATTGCACAAACAGCAATTACCAATAATAAAAATCAATGCTATGAAACAAAAATGCTCCCTCTCATGGACTACAAAATAGAACAAGACGCATGTCTCATCCTACATTGTAATTCCAACTGTGAGTTGGTCCAAATGTAACAATATAGCTCAATCTGTTGTTAAAAATTATTGCATCAAATTATCCATCCCTCTTTGAAGAAAAGCAACTGATTAGAGTTAATACTTAAACAAAGTAAAATGAATCTATTCTAGAGATCAAATTGGTACCACACTGGTCAGTGGACCAGGACAAAGACCTAAGGAACACAATCCACAAAAATGAGTGGATGCTGTCCTTTGGTCTGGGCCAGTTTAACACCACTTCCCAGACTAGCATCAAGGAAAGTCAGTGGAATGAACAGTAAAAGAACAATGATTCGGCCTGTTCATGCTAAACCTATATATCACCAGTACTGCAGCTGTGACAGACAAACTACAACACAGCAATAAATACATCACACTTCTACACTGCTTACAAATAAAGATCGGTTACAACAAAATTATGCTTAAACAGTGTGCTAAAGAAGGTGGAGCCCTAATTCACAATGGGAAGTCCTATAAACCTTATCTTGAAGTCACTTCCAAGGCTATAATGAAAGATACCTGAAATAGAAAAATCCCTGACATAGCAATAAGCCCCCCCCCCCCCAAAAAAAACCTACAAGAGTGGGATTGTACCTGGGAGAGAATTAGCCTAAAAGTAGCTGAAAGTGGAAAGAACCACTTGGGTTGAAAGGTAACAACAACTTTATTAGAAAATGTTTTGAAACAACCTAGTTACCGGTACTCCTTATGAATCACCCAGCCATAGTTAACCATGTCAGATTCTTTGATGGAATTCCACATGTCATAACCTAACATTAGGTATACAGGAGTGCAAAATACTCAAGTATATTCACTTCCTCAAACATGAAAATTGAGAAGTGTTACAGTATTGTATATGAAAAATCAAAAAGACAATTGAACTTACCTGGGTACTGTGGCTGATAGTAGTGGACAACAAAGACGTACTTTCCAGCGTACCTCAACTTGCCAGTAATATCTACCATTGGGTCACTATGGTTGAGGTAAACAAGACCAGTACCATTTGCAACACCATAAGGTAGTTCTGTAGACATTTTCCCTTCAAAATTTGATTCAAACTCAACCTGAAGTTAAAAAAAATTTCAAATGACAAAATGCACTAAAGCCTTTTGAAATTTAAATATCTCAATTATTTTTACTCCTATCCTACTTATAAGTGAGATGGATGAAGGGGTACAGAAACCTCAAAGAAAGAGAGTGGAGAGGAATGCCTGGGAGAATGATATAACACAAGTGTAAAACAAAAAATCACAGGAATGTACTGTGACATGACGAATACCTAAACAAACTTGCTTATATCCATAGCTTAATCACTCATTCATTAATAATCTGAGAGTATAGGATGAAATATTATCAAACATTTTTCTTCACTACTATGTATCAGTATTATACATTTTTTTAATAAGCACTGCTGCCACATTAAAAGGTTATTTACCTTTACACTCTCAGGAGGAATTGGATATGAAGATTCTAAACACTGGCCATCTAAGCGGGTGCAAACTGGTTGTGGACGCACAAGGTCTTCGTGCCAATATTCGTATGGTACTGCAACAATGGAATCAATCCCAATGTTTGTGTTGGTCTCACCCTGAGGAAAATAATGTTAATCTTATGCATTAGAGAGAGATGAAAGATTTATCCCGAATCTCTTTTTTTTTTAGCAGAGCCTAAAGCCAGGCAGCTTTCATAATTCTGGGAGACTTACCACATACCCAGGGTTAATCTGTTAATACAATTATGTGCTGTATATGGTTTAACTCCTCCTTTCCCCTGTTCAGCTGGCCTAAAACAAAGGGATCCTCAGTACTGTACAGAGACTCCTCCGAAGCTGAAGGACATGTTGAAGTCATGGCAACTCAATCAGAGCACCAAAATGACTGCCCCACCACTTATGGATCCAAGCAAATCTGTTCACCTAACTGTCTCTATTGTTATTTTCAGTTGATGAGACACTAACCCACGGGAAGAGGGAGGGTTTATGAGGCACCTAACTTTGGGCTCTGTCAGAAAAGAAGATTTCAGGATTAATTCTCCATTTCTATCTACAGGTACGACATCTAGATAAACTGCTCTTGCAAAACCAAGATTAATTAACACAAGAGGGTGAAAGAGGAGGTAATCAATGTTAAACATATGCTAGCTTTATATAAGCAAATAATTATGTCTATGATGTAATGTACAATACTGTAAAGAAAAATGTATGCATGAAATACTTGTCATGATACACTGTCTTGTACATAAAAACACATAAGGATATTTTGGGATAGGTTACTCAGTTTCTAGTGTATAGTGAAGAGTGCTAACTTCAAGTCATATGGATAAGAAAAATGCATTGATAAGGAAGATAAGTTAAAGAACAGTTACAGTAATATTAAACATCAATGATGGTTACCTATTTATAGGAGCCATTGGTTCCAGCTATTAATCCTAGTTCTTTTTCTTAGAATTTAACTAACAGTGATTATAAAGGGATAAAAATATGTATCTATGGAACACTTACTGTGATCTCGAGGCTGATGAAATTACTATCAAAGTAGAACACGCCCACTTTACCACTTGCATCTGTAATAACTTGACGACAGGTTGTTGAATACATGCAGTCATACAGGATGGCTCTCCCCTTCTCTCGACCTCTACGTGTTGACGTTTCTATCATGATATTAGTGGTTTTACCACCTTCAGGAGTAAAGTAGTTGATAAGAAGTATATGACGTCCTGGACGAGAAAGTCGTATGTCGTACTGAACACTGGGTTGGTTGTGGTTCAGCCATGCCATCGGTTGTGTGTCTAGTTCTGATAAAACCTAGATAAACAAAAACATTGTAAAGGCAAAATAAACACCAAATGCCAATTAAACATTAAAATACATTTCTATAATGCATTTTTCATTAATTAATATTATATTATGTTAGTGTGAATGAGGAGTCTAAACTCACAGAGGTGTTAACTATTCTCTATTATAACATCATAGATGGAGTGGATCCTGTCCAAGGAACAGAAGATTTACTTTAAGAGAAGTGAGTTAACATTAAGATTATGGGCCAAGCTCAAACTTTGATGGCTTATATTCTGAAGAACATATTTCTAGTTTATGCCAATCTCATTTTTCATTTTCTTAAGACTTAAGAGAAACAGGGCTTCAATTTCTGTGTAAAAGGATTAGGTAATGTACACCACCGATAAGGGTTATTGCACAATCCACACACATATTTTTTTTTTATTATTAATACTTCAAGTCCCTCTTGTAAAAAAAAATATGTTCAACAAACCTATCTACATCTTCACTTAAGGTAGATACAGTATATTTTTTATTTATGGACCAGTCTTCCATTGGTACTATGTCAACTGTGCTACATCTTCACAGACTTCTTATTAAATAGACTGAGCAACAGTACCAACCAAGTTCCTAGAAGTAAGAACTTACCTCATAATCATCAAACAGTTCCACAGACTCTCGTTCATCACCCACACTGCGATACCCAGCTGATCCATATATGTAGTTATATTCGAAAATATCAGGGTAAGCATAATGTATGCACATATCACCATATACATGGCCAATCATACAGGGTGTGGTCACATTCCTGGAGAGGATGGTGCCCTCATAGTAGGCAAGAGGAAGCAACACAAAGTAGTCCTGAAATAAAAACAAAGTACAGTAATGTAAATAGGCAAATATTCTCAAAGAATGAAAATATTGGTTCTGTATTATTTCTCTCCACATTGGTCAAATCAGTAATAATTCTCAAAACAAACACAGTAAGGGACTAAAAAAAAAATCATGGATAAATCAACTCATTCATTTCAAAGAAAACTCAACTGAAGGTTATGTAAGAGGCCTGGGAATTATACAGACAACTAAACATAAGCCTTTTAAAAATTACCTTGTGTGTTAAGCTTTTCTTTGGAATATCAGTTCAGTCATATACTATAACCCACTTTTGTACATCACGGGATGTAAGAATCATTTGTCTTTCTTCAGATGCTTAATGTTACAAAATTTATAGCCAATACATTAACTTACCAGAAAGAGATTTTTCTTATTCTTTATAGCAACGGACCATTGGCCAGGGTTCATAACTAAGGGCACAGGGAAGTCACCAAGCACAGACTTCACTGTCATGAGTTGGGGCCCATTAGTAGGTGCAAAATGAACATCAATTTCCTGTGAAAACAAGGTATAGGATCAGCAAAAGCTTATAACTGCGTAAAACCTCAATAATTATGATTAATCTAAGAAGCCAATTTTACACAGCAATAGCTAGAAGATAATCTAAGTGCATTATTGCCTTTCCCTAAGGAATATTGGCGAGGTTGTGTATAGAAGTAGGCCTCTTTTGGGCATGTGGAAAAATTGGTAGAGACCATCTGATTCAAAAGATGCACAAGTTTGAATATGGTAGGGAAGAGAGATAGTAGTATGCCAAGAATGACATAGGGAGAGGTTTTAAGAAGTTCCCTAAGAGATAAGAACCAGATGAGAGGCTGTAAGAGACTACAGCATGGAAAAGTGGCTATAAGGTCATCACAACAACACAAGTCTTCACAATTCATCATCAGATAAACAACAATTAGCCTACAACAGAAACATGAGCCTCTAAACATCCAAAATTCTCACCTACATACTGCCTCCCTCATTTTCATCACACCACACTAACATAATTATCTATAATAATAGAACACTTACAACTAATATCTCAACAAAATTTTTCCCATTTTTTAAGTTGATCATACCAATGGCTACCTTACAGTTTCTAATTATACTGTATCTAATCTAACATCAACCTATAATTCTAAATTCTTCTCGTGACCTCATCAGCAAGGGGGATATGGTGGGTGTGAAAGAGGGGTCCAGGTCAGGAGGATTAGGGTTGATTTTTCTGGTCAGTTGTGGGCAAGTTATATATTAGCGAAGAAATTAGCCATTTAGCATTAAAATCAGTTTAATAATTTTCCTTTTTCTTGAACCTTGTATTCTACTCTTATCAAACTTCTTTCAGCATACTGTATATTGTATTTATATTAGAGTCTCTTGTTTTCTGTTCATTCCTGACCCTCCATATTTCCCCTCCCCAAAATCCTTATAAAGGTATTTTTTCTATCAATAACTGTTCCATTTAAATCCCACATCACTATAACCTATACAATTTCACACAATAAAGCTCTCAGCAGAGTTATTGTTTGCAGTACCTTTTATCTTTCTTTTCACTCTCTCTTATTTCTATACCTATAATTGTTTTGTTTTTTTAATTACTGTACCTCCATTAAGGAGTATTTACCTGTTCAGTATCACTTGGGTTGTCAGGTGTAACTTTAATCTTGCCAACAATAGTCTTGGAGCTTGGGTTATGATAGAACATCACCAAAAGATACAGAGATGGCTTCTCTATGTATATCTCCTGGATGATTTCTTTTTGAATATCGGAGAAGACTGCATATCCTCGCCAAGAGTAGTTTGGAAATACTTCTTCATCGTAAGCAAATCTGAAGAAAAAAGGTGATAAATAAATCTAACAAACTAAATTTTTCTTTCTAAGAACATATCTTAACTTCATTTATATACAGTATTCTAAATCTGAATGAAATACTTTCATTATTGAATAACTGTAGAGCCATAGCAACTTAATTACAAGTCCTACACTTAAACTGTACTGTACAGTATACAGTATTGGTATTAAAGTACAGTGACCCCTCGTTTCACGAACACCTCGGTTAACGTAATTTCGATTAATGAACTGCCTTCCATAAGGATCTTCAATTCAGTTAACGAAAAAAAATTCGGTTAACGAAGTTCTTACGAACCGACATCAACATGTTTTCACTTGCACTGACCGGGCAACCAGCTTTAGTATCAGTCCGCCAATACATTAATCGGTTCTAGGGCTTAAATTCCTTACTATTTTAGTAAATATCAAGAAGTTTATATTATTCAATAATTTTAAAAGTTTAATATTCAATTTTTTAGTCATTTTAACAATTATTGAACATAATTGAAGGTAAAAAGACTAGTTTAATGCGTGGCATCCAGCCTCTTAACACAGAAAACAGGCGTTAGTCTCTCTGTTTTCACTGGAGGTAACATCTTGCTTGAGACTCTCTTCAACTAAACGCTTTTTTTCTGTTTCCAAGCAAATTATTGGTCATTTTGAAATATATTTTACATATTGACAATATATAATGCAGTGCAGTGTTGATTTAAAGAAAATAATCTTGAATTACACCAAGAGAGCTAAAATTTTATGGGTGAAATGGCGCCATGGGGTGACTTCTCTTCCACCCCAATGCCTTCTCTTCTTCCTTCTCCTCCACCCCCATTCTAAATCCCATCATCCACCCCCACTGCCTTCCCTTCTCCTCCACCCCCACTTCTAATTCCCATCATCATCATCAGCCAGGAGCCTTCTACATACACACCTCAAAGTAAGTGAACTTTTCTACCATTTTTGTTGAATTTAGGAAATTTTCGGTGAGCTGGAACCAATTACCCAAAAACCCATTGAAACAATGGTTTCGGTTAACGAACTTTTCGGTTAACGAACGACCTTCTGAAACGGATTGAGTTCGCTAACGGAGGGGTCACTGTATAATACTGTACAGTGGCAGTACAGTGTACCCCTTCCCAAAGATACAAACATACAGTATAATTTTTTGGAGCTATGATTTTAATTTTAATAAAAAAAGGATGTAATAAATATTAATAAACTCTTAGCAATATAATACTACAAAATTCATTGAAAATTTATCAGACAAACTATTTATTACAAAGTTACATACAGTACTTCACTTGTTTGTGTAAACATAGGTGTGCAAGAGCAAAACAAATTCAAATACTGTATAAATGTTTCTAATTCATTAAATCCACAAATCGTCATGCTTGTGAATATATTGTAGCATTTATTAACACCTAAAATGAGATCCTCCTCTTGAACTATATTGTACAGTACTGTATACTGTACTGTACTGTACTTGTTTATGCAATCAACCTGACACATACCTATAATTATATTAATCATTAATACAGTACAGTACAATAAATAAAATAATCACTTAATGGTTGAGGATCTATTCAGTAAAGGAATGTTCTTACCTGACTGCAGTATTTTGAGGTGTGTGGCCATCTTCTGCCTCATATTTCAGTTGATAGAGAGTTGGGAAGTAATGCAGTTGCATGGGTTGATCACAGTGCTGACCAGTAACACGTGGTCTGCAGCGACACTGTCCCGTATTTCTATCACAAATATTGTCAACTGACCCACCAGAAATACAACCACATTCTGAACAACCAAACATGTTATCTTCTACCAAATTATATGTTCCATCTCGACATTGGTTGCATTGACGGGAAGTGACTCCAGGTTTGCAGATGCACTGGCCACTCACTGACTCACACAATGCCATTCCACCAATTGTACCAGGAGTGTGACATCCACATTCTTCGCATCCAAAAGGATTATCTTGCCTCAGATCCCAAAACAGTGACTTACACCTATCACAGATTCTGCCTGTGACTCGTTCCTTACATTCACATAGTTCACCAACTGGTGCTTCACCACATCCACCAAAACTTTCTATTACACCTGCAGGGTTACAATTACACTCTGTATGGAAGAAAAATAATTTGTATTTTATATTAGTAATCTGGACGTGAGGGAAGGAGTAAATAAAAACTCCAGAAATATAGTAATACAATGAGAACCATATGTAGGGAAAGTAGAATGCATAGAAAGCTTTAAACATTCAGGTGCTTGTTAGGGGAAATATCTCCTTAAAGTATTAATGATGAAGAGATATAGCAATGACTTGTGATGGTACCGTATAGATAATTTCAGAAATAATACAACAAGGTCCATATATTATTCATCATCAGTGAAATCAGCAGTGTTGTGACTTACCTTCACACAGGGGGAAATTGTAAAATCCTTCAAGACACTTATCACAATGAACTCCATCGTAATGTGGTTTGCACTGGCATTTTCCATCCCTGTCACATGAGATCCCAATACTTCCTGCTTGATCACAATTGCATGGAACACATTCTGGGAAGTTGTAATATCCAGGGCTACATTGGTCACAAGCTCGACCAGAGAAACCTTGTATGCAAGTACAGCCTCCAGATGCATCACAAATTGATGAGGATGAACCTATCTCGTGACAACCACAACTCTGGATATATGGATAACCATAAAATCCGGCAGCACTATTATCACAGCGGTTACCACCAAACCCACTCAAGCAGAGGCATTCCCCTGTCTCCTTGTTGCATTTTTCTTCTACTGTCCCTTGCGCATCACAGTTGCAGACTGAAAGCAGTTTAAGAAAAGTTACAATTTGTAATTTACATAAAAAATTAAAAACAGTTAATAAGTATCAAAGCATATTAAAAACATCAATACATTCTTTTATAAAATAAAATGTCATAAGTTATCAGCAACAAACAGTCCATTACAATGACCAAACATGTGTAAACTTACATGTGCATGTAGGATAATCATAAAAGCCATGTTCACACCGATCACAGATTTGTCCACCAAATTCATTTTGACAATTGCACTGTCCAGTTTCTGCATTACAGTTGTAATCTAAGGATCCAATGTCACTGCAGTTGCATGGTAAGCAGTCTGGGAAATTGTAATAATTAGGTGCACAACGATTACAGTTTAGTCCCTCATAATTATCCTTACATGGACACTGCCCACCACCTACTTCACATATGCCACCAATTGTGCCACTTCTATGACAGTCACAAGGTTTACAGTTGGGATAATCATAGTATCCATCATTACACTCATCACAGTAAGGTGGTAAAAATTCAAGGCGACATTCACATTGCCCTGTTCCAGTAGCACAATTACCAGTTGAGAAAAACTCATTACAGTTACATGGTTGACATACATCAGTATCATTGAGGTCTCTATCAAAAGGTCTGTAGTACCCAGATATGCACTGGTCGCAGTTGATGCCTTGCGTATTGTGCTGACAATTTTGACAAACTCCTCCACCTTCAAACTGGCCATAGATGTCCCTAGATAGTCTTTGTTCATTTACTTCTTCACTGTAGATACACTCATTGGAGTGATCATAGCAGTTGCATGCTGAAACAGAATAAAAATATTTAATATTCAATATACGGAGGAAAATACTGAAACACAATCATAACACGTGAGATTTTAAAAATAAACACTCATGACAGAGTACAGTGAGCAGTAGCTTTGTGGAATGAATCACAAATAACGAATACAGTACTTCATATACAGTACAGTATCTATATTTGGCACCAGAACAATATTACAATAAAATTAAAATTAAGTAAATCTCGAATATAAATTATTTTGAAAACAGGTTACTGGTACATCAATCAAACAGGGTGCAGCAGCTGAGTGGATACAGCACTCATCTCCTACCCTTAGGGTTGTTGGTCCTTCCAAATGTAAATGGGAACCTAACTTTGCAAGTTGGGAAAGGCAGTTGAAGGCAGTTAGTCAGGCTACCCCTTTATTTAGTGATGGCTCAGCATACAGTGTATTGTTTCCACTTTGTCCCTCATGGTCAGCCGTGCCTTTGGAATCCACTTCCACTCTCATATAAATCAAGCCCCATATCAAACAAAAGGTATCCATTAAACACTTTACAAACTAAGTTCTTTGCGTTCACAAAAGTTGGCTGAAAATTACTTACGTTCACAAACAAAACTGCCTTGGTAGCCAGCTGGTCTCCATTTCTTTTGGATGAAACCAGGACAACACATCTCACACCGAGAACCACATGTGTTGTGTTGGCATCGACACTGCAGCTTATATAGGTCATTTGGATCTGTTATATCACACACATCTGCATGACCATTGCATACACACCTTCCTCCTATACTGATGTCTTTGATGGAATAAAAATACTGAAAAAATACAAGTAAAGTGTCATCAATATTTCTATCACAAAATAATTCAGCAGCAAGCAGCACACTATTACCAGCACATATTCTAATATATTTAACAAACTCTTGGCTAAAGGCTTTGGTAATAAGGATACAGTGTCTGTCTTACCCTCCTTGTGACTGTTGGATCTTGTCTTGCCACAGACATTAGATGAGCAAGTAGAGTTTTAGTGCGTAACAAGCGAAGGCGAACATTAGTGGCCCTAGTGAACTCTTGAAGGACTGTCGAGTTGAAAAAGCTGTTGGCTGATGGTCGATTATTTAGAAGGGACACAACAATCTGAAATATGGTACATTGCTATACTGGCAATATAAAGTAGTTTGGTTCAAGAAAATTATACAGAACCAACACTGGAAAAATCAAGCCAGAGGGCAATTTGATTAAGTGAATAGTCTGGACTATAGTAAAAGTCCGGTAAATTTGCATTGTCACACCGTTCTCTGTTAGAAAGTCAAAAATAATTTTTTTAGTGTATTTGTGTGTGCTTAGACCGAATATGACCTTCATTTCTGGCAGAAATTAGCGGGTTTTTCGATTTTTTTTTCGTTGGATGTTTTCCGAAAAAAAATCATGGCAAAATACACCAAAAAACACTTGAAAAACAAAAACAAAACCTAACCTAACCTAACTGACTCTCACCATATGATGGAATTACCTATTTCTTACCTTATTGGCCTGATTCTTGTTCGTCGTTGGATTCTGAGACTCTTACACAAAGCCACATATGTTGGTCTTTGCGATATTTACATTTAGTCTTGTTCTTAGTACACTTTACTGAGGTTGGAAACAGCATGCGATCGAAAAAATGCTATAGTTTCTTCGTTTTTTTCCTAAAAACTCGCAATCAGCTCTATATAATTTAAGGGACACCCTTCGCAGACTTCCAAGGTCGGCGGAACTGAAGTTACTGAACTTGAATTTCAAAATATGAGAGACCCGAAACAAAACTCGAATTTGATTGGGCCAAATATACCGCGAATTAAACCCAAAATCATTTTAATTAGTTACAAAAAGAAAAACGCTTTTGATTGGCCGCGTGACGTGTACGGGAACGCATGCGTGTGACGATTTATGAAGGAGACACCAGTGTTGGAGGAGAGGCAGGCGACAATGGCGGAAGACTAATGGAAGAATATAGAGTAAATTTTGGATAAGCTATCTCCGTTATTATATATTTCCACCGGTAATGTAATAGATGAAAATTATCTTATAATTAGATGTCTTATTCAAATATGATAATAGATTAGTGGTAGGAATGAACGGTGTGTAAACGCAATCATACCAAAAGTCCTTTACTTTACTCAATTTTACCCAAAAAGAAATACAGTACTGTTTAACACAGAGAAACAAGTAAGAATCCTCCCTGGTGAAATACACCCAAGACTGGGTGTAAGCATACTAAAGCCCAGATGCCCAGATAATTCAACCAATGATATACTTAGTAGCCACCACATGACCTTTCTACTCAGCACCTTCCCCTTCCACAGCACTGCACTTGATGCTGGTTAGTTTAGATACAGGAATCATAAGTGTACAGTCAGCATTAACATGTTTTTTCAAGCAAACCAGAGTTGAGATATGGTTCCAAGGACAATTTAAGTTCTTCGTGAAGCCCAGTTTGCGGTGACTCGAATTTAAGGAGGTCTAGGAACATTTATATAACAAGAAAATTAGATAACTTACCTCCCCACCTTCAAGAGGTACTACTTTTGAAAAGTGTGTTACACAGGTTACATCATCATCTTCCCTGATTGGCTCCAAGCTCTCCTTTCCAAAGAAACTTTCACAATCCCTGAAAAAAATATGAAAATAATTTTTAGTCACAAGCAAATGCACAGTCTCCTCAAGAACCTCCAGAAAAAAATTACTGTAAGCATCTTTATCAAAGATTTTCTTGTAGAAAAACTTATAAAGAATAAGGTAAGAAGAGTAAGAACGTAAAAATAATAGAAAGATTAAGGCAAGAATTGTGAGAATAAGGTAGCAAGTTACTGTATAAAATCTCACCATTCATCTAATTTTATCATTCATATTCGCCACTTATCAGCTTACTAGCCATTAAAACGGTTTATCCAGCGTTAGTATACAGGAGGAAACCAGGGACCGGGAAATCTGTAGTGTTTGGTAGTGAGGGTCACACTGGATAACACCCTTCTCACGTGTGTCCGGACCGAGGCTCGAACCCTTGACATATTGGTGAGAGTTATGCGCGTTACCGCTTTACCACCATTAATTCAACTACAATATTTGGGAAAATTTTTTTTTTTTAAATAGCACAATAGCATACAAAGTCAAGAAGAAGATGAAGAAAGCTACTTACCCTAGACTGTCAGCAAAGTACTGCCATGGGGTGTATATTTCTCCATTATCCACAGAACGTTCCAAAACCCATACACCAGGGCGTGGAGAGTTTCCCATCTTGATTAATATGTAAGCAACTTGGAACAACTGCAACATAAATAAGAAGAATTTTTCCATAAAACTGATTTTTTATGACATAATTAAATATTAACCTAATTATGGTACAACTTTCCCAATGACGGAAATATTTCCTTCTTGGTATACTCAAGAGCAAAGGGCATGCTCTTTTTTTTTTTTTTTTACGGGAATTAGCCCAACCGGGCACAGGTCAAACGACCCTACGGAGCCTGGGCGAAAAAAAAAAAAGAACGGAAAGAAATTGAAAATACATGTACAGTGGGGTATGCTATAACGAATCTAATTGGTTCTAGAACCTTGTTCGTTATAGCATTCGTTCATTATAGGATTAATCCGTTCCAGGCCCCCAAATACAACCACTTAACACTGAAAAATATAATATAAAATTGTAAAAATTGTAAAAAAGTGCATAAAGATGCATCTAAACCCCCTGAAATAAAGAATATCATTAATATTTGGAATAAAAAAACAATAAATTAGAAAAAAAAAAATTAAATAATGTTCGTTGTAGGAGTTTCGTTCGTTATAGCATTCTCAATTTTATACTGTATGTAAAACCGTTCGTTATGGGAATATTCGTAGTAGAATCCGTTCGTTATAGCATACCCCACTGTATAGAAAAAAGGTTATACTGTACTGTAATGCAGTACAGTTGATTTAAAGAAAATAATCTTGAAATACACCAAGAGAACTAAAATTTTATGGGTGAAATGGTGCCATGGGGTGACTTCTCTTCCACCCCAATGCCTTCTCTTCTTCCTTCTCCTCCACCCCCATTGTAATTCCCATCATCATCATCATCATCCAGGAGCCTTCTACATACACACCTCAAAGTAAGTGAACTTTTCTACCATTTTTGTTGAATTTAGGAAATTTTCGGTGAGCTGGAACCAGTACCCAAAAACCCATTGAAACAATGGTTTCGGTTAACGAACTTTTCGGTTAGCGAGCGACCTTCTGGAGCAGTTGAGTTCGTTAACGAGGGTCTGTATATTACTAATGTTACAGTAACTATATAATACAGTACTAGTAGCGGAAACCGTGAGGCAAACTTTTTGAATTGAGGGTTGTAAACTCTTGGAACAATCTACCAGAAAGTGTTGTGGCGGCACGAGTGTGAGCTCTTTCAAGAAGACTTGACCAACACTGGAGGCGGGTTCAGGTACATTCAGGAGCCGGTGCATGCCCAGTATTTGCCAACAGTGCGTGACAGAGGCGTGACCGATCGCCAGGCTAAGAGCCGACCTTTTTGAAGAATATAAAGGAAAAGAGTCGTGACCCGATCAAGCGGCTAACAAGCCGATCCAGTGGCGAAAGGATAAAAGTAAAAAGTAAAAGTAATATAGTACTAGTTAATGAGTATAGTACTACTGTTACAGTAACTATGTAGATCTAGTGTAACAGTGATTATAATAATAGTGTTAGAGTAACTATAGTACAAGTGCTAAAGTGACTATATAGTGCTAGTGTTTCAGTTACTATAGTACTCGTGCTAGTGACTATATAGTACCAGTGTTACAGTGGGGACTACAGTACTAGTGTTATAGCCTATAGTACTAGTGTTACAGTGACTATAGTACTAGTGTTATTGACTATAGTACTAGTGTTAGTTACTATAGTACTAGTGTTATTGACTATAGTACTGTGTTACAGTTATTATAGTACTAGTATTAGTGACTATAGTACTGTGTTACAGTTACTATAGTATTAGTGTTACACTAACTATAGTACTAGTGTAATACTGTTACAGTAACTATATTACTGTGTTAGTTACTATAATACTACTGTTACAGTAACTATATTACTAGTGTTACAGTAACTACAGTACTAGTGTTACAGTAACTACAGTACTAGTGTTACAGTAACTACAGTACTAGTGTTAGTTACTACTGTACTAGTGTTACAGTAACTACAGTACTAGTGTTACAGTAACTACAGTACTAGTGTTAGTTACTACTGTACTAGTGTTACAGTAACTACAGTACTAGTGTTACAGTAACTATAGTACTAGTGTTACAGTAACTACAGTATTAGTGTTAGTTACTACTGTACTAGTGTTACAGTAACTACAGTACTAGTGTTAGTTACTACTGTACTAGTGTTACAGTAACTACAGTACTAGTGTTAGTTACTACTGTACTAGTGTTACAGTAACTACAGTACTAGTGTTACAGTAACTATAGTACTAGTGTTACAGTAACTACAGTACTAGTGTTACAGTAACTACAGTACTAGTGTTACAGTAACTACTGTACTAGTGTTACAGTAACTACAGTACTAGTGTTACAGTAACTATAGTACTAGTGTTACAGTACAGTACTAGTGTTAGTTACACTGTACTAGTGTTACAGTAACTACAGTGCTAGTGTTACAGTAACTACAGTACTAGTGTTACAGTAACTACAGTACTAGTGTTACAGTAACTATAGTACTAGTGTTACAGTAACTACAGTACTAGTGTTAGTAACTATAGTACATGTAACTACAGTACTAGTGTTACAGTAACTACAGTACTAGTGTTAGTTACTACTGTACTAGTGTTACAGTAACTACAGTACTAGTGTTACAGTAACTATAGTACTAGTGTTACAGTAACTACAGTACTAGTGTTACAGTTACTACTGTACTAGTGTTACAGTAACTACAGTACTAGTGTTACAGTAACTACAGTACTAGTGTTACAGTAACTACAGTACTAGTGTTAGTTACTACTGTACTAGTGTTACAGTAACTACAGTACTAGTGTTACAGTAACTACAGTACTAGTGTTAGTTACTACTGTACTAGTGTTACAGTAACTACAGTACTAGTGTTAGTTACTACTGTACTAGTGTTACAGTAACTACAGTACTAGTGTTACAGTAACTACAGTACTAGTGTTAGTTACTACTGTACTAGTGTTACAGTAACTACAGTACTAGTGTTACAGTAACTACAGTACTAGTGTTACAGTAACTACAGTACTATTGTTACAGTAACTACAGTACTAGTGTTACAGTAACTACAGTACTAGTGTTACAGTAACTACTAGTGTTACAGTAACTACAGTACTAGTGTTACAGTAACTACAGTACTAGTGTTACAGTAACTACAGTACTAGTGTTACAGTAACTACAGTACTAGTGTTACAGTAACTACAGTACTAGTGTTACAATAACTACAGTACTAGTGTTACAGTAACTATAGTACTAGTGTTACAGTAACTACAGTACTAGTGTTACAGTAACTATAGTACTAGTGTTAGTTACTACTGTACTAGTGTTACAGTAACTACAGTACTAGTGTTAGTTACTACTGTACTAGTGTTACAGTAACTACAGTACTAGTGTTACAGTAACTATAGTACTAGTGTTACAGTAACTACAGTACTAGTGTTACAGTAACTATAGTACTAGTGTTACAGTAACTACAGTACTAGAGTTACAGTAACTAAAGTACTAGTGTTACAGTTACTACTGTACTAGTGTTACAGTAACTACAGTACTAGTGTTACAGTAACTAAAGTACTAGTGTTACAGTTACTACTGTACTAGTGTTACAGTAACTAAAGTACTAGTGTTACAGTAACTACAGTACTAGTGTTACAGTAACTATAGTACTTGTGCTACAGTGAATATATAGCAATAGTTTAGTGAATTATAGTCATGTACTAGTGTTACATTTACTATATAGTACTACCCGGTAGTGTTAGTGACTAGTATACTTGTGTTAGTGACTATAGTGCTAGTGTTAGGGACTATATAATACTAGTGTTGCAGTGACTACATAGTTCAAGATGTACTGGATGCGTGTCGGTAATATCGCGTGATTGGAATGAACATACATTTTCTGGTTGTTTTAATATATGATTAAAATCTACACCCTTGTTTTGTACACCGTATCTTATTAATGGTCACCAGCGACTCCGCCTACACGAGGTTGGCTTTTACGAGTTTCTCTACATCTTAACAATAAGAATGTAAAGTTTACCGAGGTTCCCACTTATGTTATGTATTTTTCATATTAAGAGACACATTGATGTAAATTTTTATACTACATTAGTTTAGAGGGTAAAGTAGATATAACAGTGGAGGACGGGATGTGTAGTTATCGAGCAGGGTAAATATGAATACAGACGCTGAAAGCCTGAGACACACCCAACAACAGGTGCACCACATTAAGTTTCAAGGCAGCTGCTGGTGCACGTGTTCATAAGTGGCAGGTTCCGCTCGCTCACTAACAAACTGCTGCCTCTTCTCCTCACACTATACTACTGATGGAATTATTAGATAAAGATTGGTTTATATCCTGAACTGATGCACCAGTCAGAGATCTTTTGGTAGTAAGTATACAAGGGATCCTGAGGCTAATATAATTTCATCATGGACTTAGTGCCCTAACATTATCATTCGATTTTGGACTTAACATTAATTTTGCATTAATACAAATTATTATTAATACAAAATTAATCGTTACCATCATAATTTGCATTACTAATAACACTTTAATCATATATCTCTAATACCGTAATACACATCTGAATAATACGTATCAACTATTACGTGAAGTTAACTGCTTGTTTTGAAGTATCATCGTGATCGTGTGGGAGGTGGTGTGGGTGATGCTTGTTAGACATGCGGCCAGTGTGGGTGGTGCTTGTTAGAGATGCGGGCAGTGTGGGTGTGGTGGTGTGAGTGATGCTTGTTAGATATGCGGCCAGTGTGGGTGGTGCTTGTTAGAGATGCGGGCAGTGTGGGTGGTGCCTGTTAGAGATGCGGGCAGTGTGGTGATGCTTCTTAGAGATGCGGGCAGTGTGGGTGGTGGTGTGGGTGATGCTTGTTCGATATGCGGGCAGTGTGGGTGGTGGTGTGAGTGATGCTTGTTAGACATGCGGCAGTGTGTGGGTGGTGCTTGTTAGATATGCGGCCAGTGTGGGTGGTGCTTGTTAGAGATGCGGGCAGTGTGAGTGATGCTTCTTAGAGATGCGGGCAGTGTGGGTGGTGGTATGGGTGATGCTTGTTCGATATGCG